TGAGGCAAGATAGGTCCAGCTTGGACTGAAATGGCTATTGAAGATGTTCAAGCCTAATGTGACATTTGGTAAAATCAAGGGATTTTCATTGATCTCGTTTATAGCAAATAACAAGGCCAAGATGTGCTGGTAGTTCTGTGTCAAGATCCTAGAATGAAGAGTTGCAGGCTGCATCACTTTTAGAATATGCTACTTGCTGCGTTTCAATTCAATATATAAATAAGTAATAAATAAATATTACTATCTAAGGCTAAGAGTGTGTGTGTGTGTGTGTGTGTGTGTGTGTGTGTGTTCGGCATGTTTTGGTGTGATAGTTAGAACTCAGTATTTATCATTTATTTTAGGAAACCTCATACCTGCACTGAGCAAGAAAACTACCATGGAATGTAACTATGGACTGCAGGGTTTCAAGGGAATCAATGGGGTAAACTGATCTATGATTGCAGGATGCTAGCTAAATCTACTACTACTACCATCACTTCTACTGGTACCACTAGTACTCCTGCTACTAGCAGCAATTGTAATAATAACAGTGATATAGCTTCAGGGTGGATGGAATAGGTTAATAGCCAACATTAGTCATCATCAGAGTAGACTTCTCTCTATTGGTTTCAGATGCTCTGCTCTATGACTTAGTTGGCTATAATGCACTGTTTTTCTGGCAAGAGGGGACAATGAGCTGCAGCATTGCATTTAAAGTGATTTTGCATCACATTGAAAGTAAAGCCAGTATTCACTTTCTACATTTTCTCCAAATGTAGTATCTGGAAGGATGACATGGTGAAAGAATCAAAATAAGTGCTTACACAGTCTGATCAAGCAGTTCCTCAGAGGGATGCATAGTGAAGCTTATCGGGTTGGAGAAAATGTAGATCTGAGAAAGGATGCCGGCAATGAGGAACTCTCCTGGCAGATAATACTTGTGAAGTATAGGAAGGCTGCTGATGGTACAGTTAGCAAGATGAATATTGCATGATACCTGAGGCATCAGCACTAACGCAACCATCACAAGCCCCACCATCTTGCATGAAAATCTTGCCTCTAGGCATCAGTTCATTACTTATAGTTTGCTAGTTGCTAGTGGAATTATCTAAGGAGAAGATTAGGCACAATCCTAGTTGATTGAATAATTACAGGGAGGATAACCATCTCTTGACTATAGCATGCTCTATGAGCCATTGCAGACAACACAGAACTCTCATATCTCAACAGGATGCTGATCTCGTCCCTGTGGTGGCAGGGTGTGGTTGGGTTGGAAGGTTCCTTGGCAAACAGCCCTCTGGCAGGGCCTACCGTTGGCCACCCTCCTACATTGTTACAACCCATCTCATGGGACACCATTTTAACCTACAAGGCCTCAGAGAAACACTGCGTAAGAGGACTGTAGGAAATGAAAAGGACAGCTCAACCCACCCAGTTGTCCAGACGTTGCCAAAGAAAACATGTTTTTCATAGTTCATTAAAATTCTCCTCTGATCTCCACCTAGAGGAACAGAAACAGTATGCAGAGAGACCAAAATAGAAAACAGTGGGCAAGAGCTATATTTCTGGGGGTGGAGTAAAACATTTATTTATTAATTTACGAAATTTCTTGGCTGCCCTTGACCTTAAGTTCACAGGGCAGGTCACAACTATATAGTCATGTAACATAAACATCTAATAAAACTAGCAAATGAATGTACATTTTAAAAAACAACAACCCAGCAGTGGTCCCACATTCCAGATTGTCATTCAGCTTTTCAAATCTAGAATGCTTCTGCATTCAGTCATCAATTTTAATTGTCATGGGATATCTGGGGTACAGCATCTCAGGGTTGTGGATTCAAGCTCCAGGTTGGAAAAAGATTCCATTGCAGGGGGGTTGGAACAGATGATCTTCCTTATCCCTTCCAACTCTACAATTCAATGATTCTATGTCATACTGAAAGTTTTTCATGCTCTACAGCCATTTCAAGAACTGCACAGCATTAAACTCTGTTACAGTAGTAGCAGTAGTAATAGTAATAGTAATAGTAATAGTAATAGTAATAGTAGTAGTAGAACAACAACAACAACAACAACAATTATCACCATTATCCTGGAAGAGCCACTATTGGCCCCAAAATAGGAAAGCTCTGAAAATCAGCATATGGTGGGAAGGCGTCAATAGAATAGTAGAGATACAAGTTTTGTTAACCAAAACCGAAATACATATCTGGCCAGACTCTGGAGCACAATAAATAGTATATGCTTAAATCTGCATATCTATGGCATACTCTATTTTGATGACCTAGGTAAAAACCATCTTAGCTCTTATATGATGCAAAGTTTAATAATAACAAATAAAGAAATACGGAATTAACTAGGATATATTTTTCCCTACTTCTTAATTTTGTGGGATGTGGGTGGCGCTGTGGGTAAAACCTCAGCGCCTAGGACTTGCCGATCGCTTGGTCGGCGGTTCGAATCCCCGCGGCGGGTTGCGCTCCCGTCGTTCGGTCCCAGCGCCTGCCAACCTAGCAGTTCGAAAGCACCCCTAAAGTGCAAGTAGATAAATAGGGACCGCTTACTGGCGGGAAGGTAAACGGTGTTTCCGTGTGCTGCGCTGGCTCGCCAGATGCAGCTTTGTCACGCTGGCCACGTGACCCGGAAGTGTCTCCGGACAGCGCTGGCCCCCGGCCTCTTAAGTGAGATGGGCGCACAACCCTAGAGTCTGTCAAGACTGGCCCGTACGGGCAGGGGTACCTTTACCTTTACCTTTTAAATCTGCATATCTATGGCATACTCTATTTTGATGACCTAGGTAAAAACCATCTTAGCTCTTATATGATGCAAAGTTTAATAATAACAAATAAAGAAATACGGAATTAACTAGGATATATTTTTCCCTACTTCTTAATTTTGTGGGATGCGGGTGGCGCTGTGGGTAAAACCTCAGCGCCTAGGACTTGCCGATCGCTTGGTCGGCGGTTCGAATCCCCGTGGCGGGGTGCGCTCCCGTCGTTCGGTCCCAGCGCCTGCCAACCTAGCAGTTCGAAAGCACCCCCGGGTGCAAGTAGATAAATAGGGACTGCTTACCAGCGGGAAGGTAAACGGCATTCCGTGTGCTGCGCTGGCTCGCCAGATGCAGCTTGTCACGCTGGCCACGTGATCCGGAAGTGTCTGCGGACAGCGCTGGCTCCCGGCCTATAGAGTGAGATGAGCGCACAACCCTAGAGTCTGGCAAGACTGGCCCGTATGGGCAGGGGTACCTTTACCTTTACTTCTTAATTTATGATGGCAGCTTTCACCCAACTGTAAATAATAATAATAATAATAATAATAATAATAATAATAATAATAATAATTCCTCCCTCATCTGGCTGGGTTTCCCCAGCCACTCTGGGCAGCTTCCAAAAGAATATTAAAAACACAATAAAGTATCAAACATTAAAAACTTCCCTAAACAGGGCTGCCTTCAGATGTCTTCTAAAAGTCAGGTAGTTGTTTATTTCCTTGACATCTGGATGGGAGGCCATTCCACAGGGCGGGCGCCACTACCGAGAAGGCCCTCTGCCTGGTTCCCTGTAACCTCACTTCTCGTAGTGAGGGAACCGCCAGAAGACCTCCGTGTCAGGGTGGAGATGCTCCTTCAGGCTGAGTCCATTTAGGGCTTTAAAGGCCAGCATCAACACTTTGAATTGTGCTCGGAAACATACTGGGAGCCAATGTAGGTCTCAGGACCAGTGCTATATTAGGCCTGACCTAATCCCCAGATTTCCTAGGCACTTTAATCTGCAGGCAGAATCCCCATCCCCTGTGCTTTTTTCTGGGGCTACTCAAGGGTGCGCACTGCCCAAGCCCAACACAGATACCCCACCTGGGGCCAAAATGCATGATTAGTTTGCCTTTCTGGTTAACCATCCCTGCACAAGCTAATATAACAGACAAAGAAGCAAGCTTTCAAACACATCAAACTATCTTATTTTATTTTAATAAAGCCAGTGTGGTGCAGAGTTGGAACAGAACCTGGGAGAGTTCAGGGTTCAAATCCCCATTCAGCCATGAAGCTCACTGGGTGACTTTGGGGAGCCACTTCCTATTAAACTATCCCACCGCACAGGGTTTTGTTACATGAGTATGCTGATGACCAGAGCCCATGAGGTCGGGTGAAGCACTTGACTCGGGTAGGGAAGCACAAGAGGTGTCACTCTGTCCTCTCCACCCCAGTGAAAAATTGCTCCAGGCTGTGCATAAAGGCATGGACCTCTGTGCACTAACTGATTCAGGCTATGAATGTCTAGATGACCTGTTTCGGCATCTTTTAAATAAAAAAACACACACAAGAAAAAACATGTCAGGGACGTTCCCATTCTGACAAACAGTGAGGGCTCTAAAGAGGAGGAAGGGCAAGCTGAGGGGAGTAGAAACTTGAGCCTTTCACACAGCAAGAGCGAAATAAGCCTCTCTCGCTCTGAAATGTTGCCTGTCAGTTCTCAAAGCAACAGAGAGCTGATGAAGATAACAGAACTGGTTGGAGGAGAACAGGTGGGGGTAGACTCCACTCCAGAACTGGCCATCCTAAGACCAGGAGGAGGACAGCGTAAGACTGGAAGAAGGTGGAGTAGCAAGAGGAAAGTACCCTGCCTTGGCAGGAAACAGAAGGTAGCCGAGTCAACTGACTCTGACAGTGACGGATGAGTTAAGGATGCTCTGACTGCTGAATCCTGTAATTGCTGAATAAATCTGAAAGTAATAAAGCTGCCAGTGTGCTGTGTCTTGTGTGGGGGAGATGTGCTAAATCTGACAAAACACTACCAGGCAGGGGTAATGTGGCAGTCCACAGATATCTCATAAATGGATCCACAGGGCTCTGATTTCTGAAGTGGACTCAGTATCCAATTAAATCAGATGAATCCACTGTAGAATCCACCTTCTGTGGAATCCTCTTCCACCCCTCGGCTTCTGGGAAACTTACAAAGAAATTGGGCAGGTTTTTATATCATAGGCGAGGTCAACTACTAGAATTTGTTTATTGTGTGCTACTTTCTTCTTACTAACATATCTTTGCTGTTCAGCTCAGGCCTCAGGATAATGATATAACATTTGGGGGAAAAGATGCAGCCCAGTAACCCAGCACTGGAGGTCAAGATGGAGAAGATCTCAACTGCCACCATGTATTTTCCCTTTGTGCTCAAGTAGGTTGGAATGAAGGACAGCCAAACACTGCAGAAGACCAACATGCTGAAGGTGATGAACTTGGCTTCATTGAAACTGTCTGGCAATTTCCTGGCTAGGAAAGCCACAGTGAAGCTGACAAAGGCAAGTACACCCATGAAACCCAGGACGGAGTAAAACATGGTGACAGACCCTTCATTGCATTCCACTATAATTTCTTCAGGCATGGAGTTCATGTCAGATTCTGGGAATGGAGGAGAGGTTGCAAGCCATACACTGCACATTGTGGCTTGATTAAGAGTGCAGGAAAGAACAATGGAAAAAGCCAGTCTATTGCCCACCCACTTCCTCATCCTGGACCCAGGCTTGGTGGCCATGAAAGCCAGAAACACTATGATGGTTTTGGCCAAAACGGAAGAGACAGCAACTGAGAAGATGACACCAAACATGGTTTGTCGAAGGAGACACATCACCGTCTGAGGTTGCCCAATGAAAAACAGAGGGCAAAGGAAACAGAGCAGGAGGGAGATGAGGAGAGTGTAGGTGAGGTCCCGGTTGTTGGCTTTGACTATGGGAGTGTCCTTATGCTGAATGAAGACCCAAAGCACCAAAGTTGTGATGGAAGAAAAGGAAAGTGCCAGAATGGCCAAACTGGTCCCCAAAGGTTCTTCATAAGACAAGAAGCTAATACTTTTGGGAATGCAGGAATCTTTGTTGATATTTGGATATTGTCCTTCTGGACATAGAAAGCAGTCCGCCATGTCTGAAAAAGATAGAAATCTTTATTGTACATAGAATCCCAAATTGTAGCTTACTACACTAATCAACCTGGTTGGTCAAAATCTGCAAGAGAGATGTGCCATCTCAATAGGGCTCTATAAGCAAGTGTGTTCCAAAAGCAACCAATGGTGTAGATCTCCTTCAATCAAAGGAAATTCAACCAAGCACTGAATCTGCCTCTCTTATTGGAGAGCAAATGCACTGCAGATGTGTTAGACTAGAGGTGTTTAGAACTGTGGCTATCCTAAAAAAAATGTCCTATCAGCCTTGAAGCTCACTGAGTTATCTTACACCAACAAATATGTCTCAGACTAACCTTCTAGCGGTTCCCTCACTGCGAGAAGCAAAGTTACAGGGAACCAGGCAGAGGGCTTTCTTGGTAGTGGCGCCCACCCTGTGGAACACCCTCCCATCAGATGTCAAGGAAATAAACAACTATCTGACGTTTAGAAGACATCTGAAGGCAGTCCTGTTTAGGGAAGTTTTTAATGACTGATGTTTTAATGTATTTTTAATCTCTTGGTGGAAGCCACCCAGAGTTTCTGGGGAAACCCAGCCAGATGGGTGGGGTATAAATAATAAATTATTATTATAATATTATTATTATTTTTCAACCCAACCATCTCCCATTAAAATGTTTCTGGTGTTTATACTGTTATTAATGTGTTGTATGTTGCACACTGATTTGTTATATTTTCTTTGAAAGTGCAGTTATAAATATGCAAATAAAATAAATAAAATTAACATGCAGAATCTATGCATAGTTGTTCATTACTTTGAAACCAGGTGTCAGATAATTTCATATAGGGATTTGAAGAGATAAATTTCCACTTAGTTTGGTTAGAGTATGATATTTTTCATTATTTCCTCCAAGCTGTTGAACTGACCACTATTTGTTAAGCATGAACGTATCACTAGGTGTATCCTACTGCAACCTTATGTCAGCACACACTACCCCTTTAGGATTCTGAACAACCTTTTTGATAGAAGGCAGGTGACTATAAGCTGATAAGTTTTGGAAAAGTCTTCTCTTACCCTTTTCATTGGAGATCTTTCCTTCTGGACACGGGAGGCAATCGTAGCAGCAAAATTGTTCACCTTCTTTCTTGGTCTTACGATAGCCCAAATGGCAATTGTCATTACATGTGGAAAGGGGCACTGCCTGTTCATACATGAAAGAGAGAAATGTTTAAGGATTCAGAAAGTATGTATCTGCCTTTCTGTTTTGAAAATGCAACAACAACAACAACAACAACCAGATCCTATTGAATATTTAAATAATGGTCCAATGCACCCCAAAAGACACATAGACCTTACCTGGTTGAAACTCTTAGACCACACAATAGAATCCTCACAAATGTTGAACACTTTATCAGGAGAAGCCTGTGGGTCTATCCTTCCAATTTTGACTTTAAGAAAGGACTGGTTGGGGAATACAATCCAGTTTATAATATCAAATCCAGCTCCTATTTCCCCATTTTGGTCAAAATAAACTTCTTCATTCACACTGTTATTAAATGAGACTCTCCTGAGATACTGGTGGACCTTAAAAAAACACATGCATAATTATGATCCAAGTGGTTTGAGTATGCCTTGACCACTAACTGTGTTGTCTTTTTATATTATTATTATTATTATTATTATTATTATTATTATTATTATTATTATTATTATTATTATTTGTAATCAACCTTTATTGAGGATCTTGGGCAACAGAAACAGTAGTAATATATTTTTTAAAAAGATAGAGATACTTCCCCCCTCCCTTCCTCATTCATATCATTAAAAGCCCGAGTCAACTAATAAAGTTGAATGTTGTGATATTCAGGACAGATAAGCACAAGCATTTCCTCCGCAAATACAAAATAATTCATAATCATAAAATTTTGGTTATTGACACCACTGGAAAAGCTTTAAAAGGGGACATGACAAAATTTGCGGTGCATAAGGTTTCAAATAAGCCTTCTCATAATGGCTATATACTACTTTGGGGTTCAGAGTCACAGTGCCTCAGAATATCATGGGCATCAGTAGGAGTGGACTGTTGATCTACTGGTAGACTTTCAGTAGGTATCTGATTGGCTATTGTAGGATATTGGATGCTGAACTACATACACCAGCAAAGTTCATTTTATGCATTTAGAAGACTAGAAATATTTAGGAACAAATTTAGCATTAAGCCCACTCCACATGCTGAAACTCCCAACCTGATCCCAATGTTTTGATAACTTGCTTAAAACAAACAAACAAACAAACACTAATTGTAAATGTTATCATGTGTTTGTAATAACATGCAACTTTGCCATTAAGTTATACCCTTCCAGAATGACCAGCTAATCAAATCCACAATGATACTAGCTGTTGTGAAATGGGTGATAAATCAAAGGTAACAGTGTTCAGCCATCACATGCAGATTTAACAGAGAGGAAGAGTGATATATGTAAGACAGACATACTGAGTTCTATCAATATAATAGTGACTGCTCTTGTTTTCACCTGTTCAAACGGTTACCTGCCATGGATGGTGATTCAGAAGCTTCCAGTTACTTCCACCCACCATTGGTCTGTGTTTAACTTGGGATGAATGCATGGCATGCAAAGCATGGGCCAAAGCATAGACAGCATTGTAGATGCTATAGCTGTTGCCACTTATGTTTGGGTCAAAAAGAGGCTCAGAAAGAGTCTCTGGCTTCTCGTATCCAGTGCATAATTCCATATCTTGACCATCTGTCTCAGAGTTGGGGAAAAGGCATTTGAATGCATATTGCCAGATATCCCTGATAAAGCCATCTTCTGAATCTACAACTGGATTTCTCATCTGAAGGAATTTCTGGAATCCTAACAACTCTTGAGAATGAATTGCAAAGGATAAAGAGCCATCAATGAAGTTTGCTTTCCATCTACTTTGATGCCCAACTGATGAGAAGTCCATCTGGGCTAGCATAATCCAGACTTGACCACTTAACTTCACTGGTATATTCAATTCAAATATGTAAAGCAGTGTTGTCAACATGATAATATTCTTAACATCACCATGCAAGATAAACACGTTGGCAGTGCTTTCCATTATAACTTGATTACCCTTGTTCACCTCTTTTGACATATTTATAATGCCACTGGAAAAGGATAGGTTGGGGAATCTTACTATGAAGTCAAAGCAGATCCCATTCAAGGAAAAGAGGGGAAGTATGACATTTACAAATCTTTCTCCAGTCTCATCATCCTGAGAGCAAATCACTCCAATCCACGTCCAGCTAAAAAACAGCAGCAATTGGAGGATTCCCCTATATTGATGGTTTTCATTTGGAAACATCCGGTGGAAGAAAACAGCTTCAGTTACATCATTTATTTCTGGAGTAGCACCATAGGTAAGCTAAGTAAAAGAAAAAGTGTGGCTGAGAAGGAGTGCATGTGCAATTATTTCCACATTAAATTATACAGATATGGTTTCTTGATAACAGTGAAAGCAGAAAAAAATTATGGTTGGCTGCACACGTCCCATATTAATAATGATTCCATATCATACACTGTGTAAAAAGTCACCAGTATGTTTTTACCTTAATGAAATAGATTCCACAACAAAGGTTCTACTATGGAGAACATGAAGATAGACCATTGCAGAACATGTAGCCACCAAGAGGGGTTCCTCCAAATAAGTCAGTGAATGGGGAAGTTGTAGACAGAACTGTTTGACCATTGTTAAACAGTAGCATATGTATACAGGATATTTTTTAAATAAAAAAATCATATGAATCAATAAACATTTCATTATTAACTGCAGCATGCAAGTTATGCCTTTCTGCAGAGCTTTCCAAACTGTGTGTCACAATAGGTTAGTGAGTTGGCTGCACTGCATAGGTGTGTTGTGTGATATATGTCCATATCTCTTATAAGGGGTTGGTTTTACCTCTGGTTTCCTCATAAAACTGAATTATTTTGTTGCAAAATGATGAACTTTCCAATGTGGAAAATTTGGAAAGCTCTGCCTTTATGTTTGTATAATACAATTTTATATCCAAAAAGAGATGTATTAATAAACCCCCATGAGCACATCTTACCTGGGGAATCTTGTAAATGCACAGATTAGCTGCCATGTGAACACCAACATCAAAACTGGGTCCCCCAATGACTGCTACGGGATTGTACTGGGTGTCACACTTGAAGTTAGGGATGCATTTTCCATGTGCAGAAAGAAGTTGCATTGAGGCATGGTAAGTCCAGCTTGCACTGAAATAGCTATTGTAGATGTGGAATCCCAGGGTTATATTAGATAAGAGCTGTGGATTGTCATTAATCTCTTTTACAGCAAATACCAAGGCTACAATGTGCTGGTAGCTCTGAAGCAACATTCTGCAAAGAAAGGCAAAGTGTGTGTCATAGCTCATCTCCTCCAGAATAAGGCATTCAAAAGTATGTATCATATCTCTTTATTGTTACAAAAGCTGGGTGTCTCCCTCTTTCTCTGCCAAGCGGTAGGAAGATTAAAGGGGGTTCCATGCCCTCACCCGGGGTCTGTGTTCCTTTGGAGAACTGAAATATGGAGGAGAATGCCATAGCTTTCATAAATATAGTTTATTCCCCCCCTATTTAAACCTTCAGTGTGCATTGAGGGAGTCCAGATCTTACAGCATGGTCATTTGCAGAGGGGATTGTCACCCACAACACTGCAGCCCTGGAGTCCAAGGCATCTTTCCCAGCCGGCCTTCAGCCAGCCTCCCCAAGATGGACCCCAGTCCTTTTCTCTGCCTTCTTCTTCACAACACACCTTGCTAAAAGCTCTCTTTTCCTGTCACCTCACATCCAGTTACCCAGACAACCTTCCAACACACCCACCCTGTCTTTGTTCACACCTCAGGGCGGGAGGGACGGGGACGGGGACACAGTTCTCTTGTATTGCCAATGACCCTCAATGACCCTGTATTGTTCCTTAATGACCCTAACTTGGCCAGGTCGTTTTGCATAGGCTGGTTTAGGAATTCCTCTGCAGCTTGTATTTCTTGCTTCACATCCCAAATAATAAAAATCCTACTATTTAATAATTTTTGGGTTTAGTGGGGGTCCCCCCTAAATCTATAACAATACGTTTAATTAGTGTACTGCACAAAAATATTATATGGCCACCGTTCAGAGGTGAAGAAACACTTATAAGGAAGGGGAATGAGTTCAATACTGTTCTTATTTATATGCCTAATCTGCAGTTTCCAAAACAGTATATGGACTGAAAACTCGACATAATTTGAATTTTGATAATACCCAAATTTTACAGTGTACTTCTGCATTCGAGTAATGTGCATAAAAATGCATATACTAGCATAAATATTTTTATAGTTTTAGGATGTTTTAAATATATCAATGCACACTGTTTTTATATTTTTATGAGTTGGCAGTTTATAAGTATTCTTACAAATATATAAATACAATTAAAATGCTTTCGTTGCTTTACAAAGTATCAAAATTGGATGCTCCTGTTTGATTTTAATAGGAGGGGGTACAGTGACCATTCATAAGGTAGAATACAGAGCTGATATACTGGGAACATAGATTGCATCCGTGAAAAGGTGGAATTGTAAAAAACGAATTATTTTTACAGATGTATATCTGGGTTTTTTTAAAAGAAGAAGAAGAAACGAAATTCTTACAAATAATCATTAAAGCGTTCATCAGAAGGATGTCGTTCAAAGGTTATTTCATCCGAAAAAATGTAGAACTGAGAAACGATGCCTGTAATGATGAGGTCTCCTGACTGATAATACTTGTGACGAGCAGAGAGAGGGTAGTTGATGCTGCATTTATTAACAGGAGTATTGCATGACAACAGAGGCAGCAAAACTGATAACCACACAAAGAAGAGTATCTTCACCCATGAAAATGTCTTAATGAGTGTCATTTTCTCTATTTCCATATCAACATTCACATGTCCTTGAGCAGCACAGTCTGATTTGAATGGAGATCCATTGGACTTATTGCAGTGAAGGCTTATTCAGTGAAAAGTATCAGGGGTAGTCTGTCTTATAAACTGCTGATTCTCACTAGCCCTGGTTCATGGAAAAGTCTACATTAATGGTTGTGTTATGTCCTGCTAGTTGTTTTCCTGTGGTTATCAGAGGTCCTCTGAGATTTGAAAATAAAGTGGAAAAAATTGTGGTTAACTTGATCATTACAGAGGAGATAACATCTTAGAATTGCAGGTTCTCTGAGACATGGCAGAGGAAAACACGCTTATCACATCCCAGCGGACATTGCTTCCCATTCTCCTCGTTGGGGCAGCAAGTGATACAGGAACTTGCATTGCTAACTTCTTTTTACCCAGACTGCATCAGAACCAGAATATTGTTTGCAATGCATTTTTGGAAAATGGAGATTTTGGAGGCAAAAAACCCATCCAGCAAATAGGACTAGAGAAGGACACTTGGGCAATGGTCTCCTTCCTGCCACTGTATGTATCACAAGCAGCATAGGCCCAGCATTCCATGTGATTGTGCCAGGCCCAGCAATTCCATATGTAGAACATAGCTATCAAAATGTTGAATGTGATCATCTGAATGTGGCTGTCTGTAGGCAATAAAAGAGCTTGAGAAAGAGAACTGTCGTTGTCTAGGAGAGGTTGTAAATCTCTGATGTTGTAAATCTCTGGTGTTAACTTGGGAGCTTTATATGATTACTAGTGGTGTTCTGTTATTTTTTTTCTTTTGAGTCTGTCTTAACTTGCTGTAAGACAGACCCAAAAGAGAAAAAGCTCTGGGAAGAAGACCTGTCATTGCCTACAGACAGCCACCCAATCTTAAACAACTCCTCACCCACAATATTACAGCAACCAGGCTTAACATGGACACTGGCCTGCAGTAAACCCAGATGTCAACTTTGCTACCACATACACCCATCAGTGGACCATAAACATCACTGGACCCAAAAACATACCATCTCAGGCTTATTCAAACGCTCATCTTCTAACATTGTGTATGCCATCAAATGCCAGCAGTGCCCTCTATATTGGACAAACAGGCCAAACCCTACACCAAAGGATAAATGGACATAAATCTGACATCAGAAATCACAAGACAGAGAAGCCAGTAGGAGAAAACTTCAGTCTCCCAGGACATTCAATACAGGATCTCAAAGCAGCTGTCTTGTTACAAAAGAATTTCAGAAATAGACTTGGAAGAGAAGTTGCTGAATTACAACTTATTGCTAAACTGAAAACTATGGAGAGACCTGGTCTGAATAGAGATATTAGATTCTTGTCTCATTACATATGCTAAAACTAATTTTGGTTCTCTGCATACTATCTCATGCTTTTTCCCTGAAGGACTAATTACAGTCGTTAACAGTCGTCAACAGGTTTACCATACCCATTGAGTCAATCACCCATCTCCTACTACCCTTCTGAGAAAAAACCCACCCCACCTCACCCTCCCACTATATACTGTATAAGGGTCTGGTGACTTCTGTTTCAGTGTAACTGAAAAATTGTGCATCACATGAAAGCTTATACCCAGAACAAACTTAGTTGGTCTCTAAGGTGCTACTGGACTTTCTTTCTTTCTTTCTTTCTTTCTTTATTTTGACTGCATTGGACCAACACGGCTACCTACGGCTATCTACCTGAATCTAGAAAATTGCAACGTAAAACTAACACGATTTTCCTGGTTTTGAAAAAGGTTGTGTGTGTGGTGCACCTACACCTCAGCGTCTTTGGCTGGAGTTCTCAAGGGTAGGGATAGTAGCCACTGAACACTCAGCCAATAGACTATCAGCTTGCTCCAACTAGGAAAGAATAAAAGGCTGCAGGAACAAAGCATGGGAGAATGAAGTGTTGAAGGATCCTGCATTCAAGGTTGCTTCAGAACAGAAATCACAGAAACTTGCAATGTAAAACTCACACGATTTCCCCAGTTTTAAAGAAAGTTTGTTTGTTTTCTGGGAGCAAATAGCACAGAAATGGGCACCAAACTTTTGCTTTATTCTGCTAGGTTTTGGGAAGTGGTTTTTACATTACACTGACAGTGTTGCCTATGGCTGGTCCACAAGTTCTCCATTCATGTTCTAAGCATAAAACAATATATAATAATTATCAATAACACAAGTTGAACCAGCAACACTTAAAAGCCACTTGGCTTGCTGGGGGGAAAAGAAAAGAGAGATCTCAGCAGGAATCTAAAGCAGCATAGTGAGTATCCTTGCCTTAAGTTACAAATGAAATTGATAGAATTTCATAATATATTAACTAACCCATTGTGGCAGATAACATCTGGCAGGGAGGGGACTGCCAGCTGAGCTCTGATGGTTCAGGACATCAGAAATTGGGAGTGAGGCTGCTGCTTTAAAAATCCTCCATGGACCCAGAAGTCTTGAAAACCTATAGGCCAGTTGCAAATGTCCATTTTTTGAGCGATGTTCTCCAGCAAATGATTGCTAATGAGCTAGAGGCAATAAAATACAGGGTGCAGGCCTGATTTTGTCCTAAGACTATCTTGGCCACCAAGTATGGTGATCTATGTGGGGAAGGAGACAGTGGGAACATGTTCCTGTTTATTCTGCTTGACCTTTCAGTGACTTTTAATACCATCAATCATGGCATCCTTCTGGGGAGACTATCTGTGCTAGTAGTAGTGTGCATTGTTTCGCAATGGTTCTACTCCTACTTGAATTTTCAACTCCAGAAAGTGGTGCCTGTGGGTTTTTACTTGGCCCAACTGAGACTCCAGTGTGGAGTTACTCGGAGTTTGATTTCATCTCCCCTGCTGTTAGCATCAAAATGAAACCACGCTGATGACCAGAGCCCATGAGGCAGACTGAAGCACTTGCCTTACCTCAGAGGGCAGAAGTACAAGAGTTGTCACTTTGCCCACCCTACCAAGGTGAAAAAAAAATCAGATTGCTCCCACACATGCATAGAAGTCTGGACTACTGTGCACTAACTGTTTCAAGCTATGAGTGTTGGATTGACAAGTTCTAGCATTTTTCTAAAAGGCAAGAAAAGAAGAACTACCAGGCAAAGGCAATGTGGCAGTCCACAGATATCTCATAAATAGATCCACAGGGCTCTGATTCCTGAACTAGACTCAGGATCCAATTGAATCAGATGAATCCACCTTCTGTGGAATCCTCTTCCACTCCTCAGCTTCTGGGAAACTTACAAAGAAATTGGGCAGGTTTTTATACCACAGGCAAAGTCAACTGCTAGAATTTGTTTATTGTGTACTACTTTCTTCTTATTAACATATCTTTGTTGTTCAGCTCAGGCCTCAGAATAATGATATAACATTTGGGGGAAAAGATGCAGCCCAGTAAGCCAGCACTGGAGGTCAAGATGGAGAAGATCTCAACTGCCACCATGTATTTTCCCTTTGTGCTCAAGTAGGTTGGAATGAAGGACAGCCAAACACTGCAGAAGACCAACATGCTGAAGGTGATGAACTTGGCTTCATTGAAACTGTCTGGCAATTTCCTGGCTAGGAAAGCCACAGTGAAGCTGACAAAGGCAAGTACACCCATGCAACCCAGGATGGAGTAAAACATGGTAACAGACCCTTCATTGCATTCCACTATAATTTCTTCAGGCATGGAGTTCATGTCAGATTCTGGGAATGGAGGAGAGGTTGCAAGCCATACACTGCATATTGTGGCTTGATTAAGAGTGCAGGAAAGAACAATGGAAAAAGCCAGTCTATTGCCCACCCACTTCCTCATCCTGGACCCAGGCTTGGTGGCCATGAAAGCCAGAAACACTATGATGGTTTTGGCCAAAACAGAAGAGACAGCAACTGAGAAGATGACACCAAACATGGTTTGTCGAAGGAGACACATCACCGTCTGAGGTTGCCCAATGAAAAACAGAGGGCAAAGGAAACAGAGCAGGAGGGAGATGAGGAGAGTGTAGGTGAGGTCCCGGTTGTTGGCTTTGACTATGGGAGTGTCCTTATGCTGAATGAAGACCCAAAGCACCAAAGTTGTAATGGAAGAAAAGGAAAGTGCCAGAATGGCCAAACTGGTCCCCAAAGGTTCTTCATAAGACAAGAAGCTAATACTTTTGGGAATGCAGGAATCTTTGTTGATATTTGGATATTGTCCTTCTGGACATAGAAAGCAGTCTGCCATGTCTGAAAAAGAAATAAATCTTTATTGTACATAGAACAATAGGTAAAAAAACAATGCTATCCAGGGTTGTAAATACTGCAGAGAGAATAATTGGGTGCACTCTTCCCACCTTAGATCAAATCTATGCTGCCAGGTGCCATAAGAAAGCGGCAGAGATAGCACAGGATAGTACGCACCCCGGAAATGATCTCTTTCAGCTTCTGCCTTCTGGAAGAAGGTCCAGGGTTATAAAGGCCAGGACTAGCCGCCTGAGAAACAGTTTCTACGCAATGCAATTCTGGTTCTAAACGCAGCATAAGGGGTCTCTATAGTATAGTGTATTTTAAAATGGAGTTTCAGAGTTTTTAGGGGTTTTTGAATGTTTTATGTAGTTTTTATGTAGTTTTTCAATTTCCTTGTTCTGCATGGGACAATGACAATAAAGATATCTATCTATCAAAACCCCAAATTGTAGCTTACTATAATAATCAACCTGGTTGAACAAAATCTGCAAGAGACATGTGCCATCTCAATAGGGCTCTACAAGCGAGTTCCAAAAGCAACCAATGGTCTAGATCTCCTTTATTCAACCAAGCACTGAAGCTGCCTCTCTTAGCAGAGAGCAATGCACTGTAGACGTGCTAGACTAGAGGTGTTGAGACTAGAACTGTGTCTATCCTAAAAGAAATGTCCTATCAGCCTTGAAGCTCACTGAGTTATCTTACACCCACAACTATATTTCAGACTAAATTACCTCAAACACTGTAAAGATGTTGGACTAGAAGTGTGAGACTAGAGCATCTGGTGCAGGTTCTTGGGTGGATCCAGTGCCTCTGAGGTTTGATCGTCCTTTCCCTGGCACTGCCCCTTGAGTGTGACAGTCTCGGTCCCATAGATATCCCTGCCAACAGAAGCTTCGCAGGAATCATCCTTACTTTCTTTCAGATGTCTTTTAAAACTGTATTGTTCAGACAGACCTTTGGAATGTGATTTTTTAAACCCAACCAATTCTCATTTATATGTTTCTGGTGTTTATACTGCTATCAATGTAGTGTGTTTTATTAAGAATGTATTTCTATATTATGTTGCAAACTGACTTCTTATATTTTCTTTGAAAGTGCAGTTATACATAAGCAAAAAGATGAAATAAAATTAACCCCCCAAATCTATGCATTGTTGTACATTAGTTTGAACCCTGGGGTCAGATCATTTCATATAGGTATTTGAAGAGATAAATTTCCACTTAGTTTGGTTAGAGCATAATCAGGCATATTTTTTCAGGCAGAAATCTGGAACTGAATTCTGGCACCTCTCTGGTGGGCATCATTGCAATTCTAAGAGAACAAGGGAGGTATTCATGGTGAGTTATGGCACCCTTTTTTCTGGAAAAATAATACTGAGTATAATATTTTTCATTATTTCCACCAAGCTGTTGAATTGACCACTAATAGTTAAACATGAACATATCACTAGGGACTCATCTACACTGGTCAGTTAAAATGTTAAAAATGTGTTATAAAAATGTGACACTAGAGGGTGCTGTAGAGCACCGATCCATCCTCAATGGAAAATTGCATTCAGAGCTATATTACGGTGGTTTGCTTTTTGTAGCTTTTTTACAAATCAGTGTAGATCCAGCCTAGGTGTATCAAACTATAACCTTGTATCAGTAAACTTTACCCCTTTAGGATTCTAAACCACTTTTATGACAAAAGGGAAAGGAATATAAGCTGATAATCTTAGTAAAGGCATCCCTTACCCTTTTCATTGGAGATCTTTCCTTCTGGACACGGGAGGCAATCATAGCAGCAAAATTGTTCACCTTCTTTCTTGGTCTTACGATAGCCCAAATGGCAATTGTCATTACATGTAGAAAGGGGTACTGCCTGGCCATAGAGGAAAGAGATAAATATGTAAGGATTCAGAAAATATATATTAGGAATAGGCATCTAACAGTCATTTCAAAAATGTTTGATCCTCGCATGAAATAACAGTGCTGCTATTGTCAAGGGTACCTGTAGGTATGCAATGGGCTATTGGCCCTCCCCTGTTGGTGATCTTTGTTGAGAATGTGACAAATGTCTTGCATACTTTCTGATGGATTAGCCCACTGTATTATGCACTGGATCTCAGGAAAATTGAGTTTGGCATAATGTTTATTGATAGTTGCTCTTTCACTAATTTTTGCTTACTTTTTGATAGTGTTATTGTGTTTTGCAACTCCTATACATGAAAACTAGAAAGTATGTTCTCCTGATAGCTATGTGACTCAGTTTTAGGTGATTGTACACAGAAGTGCAGCCTTAGCTTATTATGCCAAGTACAGTAATACCTCAGGTTACAGACGCTTCAGGTTACAGACTCTGCTAACCCAGAAATAGTACCTCGGGTTAAGAACTTTGCTCCAGGATGAGAACAGAAATTGTGCAGCGAAATCGTGCAGCAGCCGGAGGCCCCATTAGCTAAAGTAGTACTCCAGGTTAAGAAAAGTTTCAGGTTAAGAACGGACCTCCAGAACAAATTACGTTCTTAACCCGAGGTACCACTGTAAACTAATTCAATGTTTTGAGAGATGTAGATTTGAGTTGAAAACATTGTTTTGAATGGGCTGGACCTAGCCAACAGAATACAGATTCCCTATTCAGGTATCAAAACTCCTCTTCCGGATGAATGAATAAACAGATATTAGGTCATGGTAGGCTCTGCCTCCAGCTGTGTTTGAAGAGAAACACCTAATTGCAACATGCTTCTGTGAATAGAAACATGCATATGGAAGACAGGAAACTTCTTTCTCAGGGTTCATGATTGTGTGGTACCCTAACAATATGTGAGTATTTATACAGATGAATGGGATGCTGCCAACATGCATTTCAATGAGTTGACAATAGGGACAGGGAAGCCTGCCACTGCTCACCATCTTCAAGTTTGCTCTATGCATAGAGAGGAAGGTCAGTGCCTGACTAAGTCTTGACAAGTCTTAACATTCTTGGATCTCAAGAATGTCTTGATGTATCTGAGTTGCAATCAACTCAGAAATTTAACAGCCTCATTTGTTACCACCACTACCCTTCTAGTGATGCTCCATGTGTTGGGCAGAGAGTCTCTGATTGTATCAATCGGTGGGAGGACATGTGTAGTAGCATTTTCTCAGCAAGTGCAATGACACACCTTCCCTCTCCATGCTGTACTTCAGTCTTAAAAGAGGGAAAACACACAGCCTCTTTTTGGTTGAAGCAATTTGGCAAATCACAACCGTTTCCAGAAAAGAAGTAGGCTTGATCAAGTTTGCAGAATGACATAGCTTTCTATTGCATAGCCACAAGGTAATAAACAAGCTAGGATTGAAGGCAGAATAGATGTCTGTAGCTGGAAACAACCATGTGTTTCTCCTTTTCTCTGGGTGTATTATACAGGGAAAGAGAATCTTACATAATCTATTTACCCAATTTTGCAATGATTACTTTTGTGGGCGATATTTGGTAGCAGAGACATATTTTTTTGAATATTCAATGGTTCAATGCACCCCAAAAGACACATAGACCCTACCTGGTTGAAACTCTTAGACCACACAATAGAATCTTCACAAATGTTGAACACTTTATCAGGAGAAGCCTGTGGATCTATCCTTCCAATTTTGACTTTAAGAAAGGACTGGTTGGGGAATACAATCCAGTTTATAATATCAAATCCAGCTCCTATTTCCCCATTTTGGTCAAAATAAACTTCTTCATTCACACTGTTGTTAAATGAAATTCTCCTGAGATACTGGTGGATCTTTAAAAAAATTAAAAGAGAAAAAAACCCATGCATAATTATGTACCAAGTGGTGTGAGTACAATTTGACTAGTAACAGTGCTGTCATTTTTTTTGTAATCAAATTCCTTGAGAATCTTGGACAACAGAAAAAGTAGTAATAAAATTTTAAAATTACACAGATGTGGAAACAATTAGAGATACTTTTTTCCTTTCTTCTCTAATATCATTAAAACCCTGGATCAACTAATGAAGTTGAATGTTGTTCTATTCAAGACAGATAAGCAAAAGTATTTCCTCCGCAAATACAAAGGAATTCATAATCAAATGTTTTGGGAATTGACACAACTGAAAAAGCTTGAAACGGGGACAAGTCTACTTTGGGGTCCAGAGCCTCAGAATATCATAGGCAGCAATAGGAGTGAACTACTGATCTACTTGTGGATTTTTAGTAGGCATCTGATTGGCTACTGTGCAATCTGGGATGCTGATTTCCATGTGCCTCTGTTCTGATGCAGCAGGGATCTTTTTACGCACAAGAAGGCAGGGAATACTTAGGAACAAATTTAGGATTAAGCCCACTCCACATGTTGCAAATCCCAACCTGATCCCAATCTTTTGATAATTTGCAAAAACGAGATTGCTAATTGTAAATGTTTGAAATAACATACAACTTCACCATTAGTTATACCCTTCTGGAATGACGAGCTAATCAAATCCACAATGATATTATCTGGAGAAAAGCTAAACTCGTAAAATGGATGATAAACCAACATAACATGCAAATTTGACAGAGAGAAACAATAATATAAGACAGACACAGTTATACCAATAGATAAAGTGAGTTCTCTTGTTTTCACCTGTTCAAAAGGTTACCTGCCATGGATGGTGATTCAGAAGCTTCCAGTTACCTTCACCCACCATTGGTCTGTGTTTAACTTGGGATGAATGCATGGCATGCAAAGCATGGGCCAAAGCATAGACAGCATTGTAAATGCTATAGCTGTTGCCACTCACGTTTGGGTCAAAAAGAGGCTCAGAAAGACTCTCCTGCTTCTCGTTTCCAGTGCATGCTTCCATATCTTGATCACCTATATCAGAGTCGGGGAGAATGCATTTGAATGCATATTGCCAGACATCCCTGATAAAGCCATCTTCTGAGTCTATAACTGGATTTCTCATCTGAAGGAATTTCTGGAATCCTAACAACTCTTGGGAATGAACTGCAAAGGATAAAGAGCCATCAATGAAGTTTACGTTCCATCTACTTTGATGTCCAACTGATGAGAAGTCCATCTGGGCTACCATAATAAAGACTTGACCACTTAACTTCACTGGTATATTCAATTCAAATATGTGAAGTAGTGTTGTCAACATGATAATATTCTTAACATCACCATGCAAGACAAACACATTGGCAGTGCTTTCTATTATGACTTTCTCAGCCTCGTTCACCTTATCCTTCATTTTTGGAATCCCACTGGAAAAGGATAGGTTGGGGAATCTTACTATGAAGTCAAAGCAGATCCCATTCAGGGAAAAGAGGGGAAGTATGACATTTACAAATCTTTCTCCAGTCTCATCATCCTGAGAGCAAATCACTCCAATCCACGTCCAGCTAAAAAACAGCAGCAACTGGAGGATTCCCCTATATTGATGGTTTTCATTTGGAAACATCCGGTGGAAGAAAACAGCTGCAGTTACATCATTAATTTCTGGAGTAGCACCATAGGTAAGCTAAGTAAAAGAAAAAGTGTGGACGAGAAGGAGAGCATGTGCATTTATTTCCACATTAAATTATACAGATATGTTTTCATGATAACAGGTGAAAGCAGACAAAATTGGCTGCATTTTTACCAGAATAACCATTACAATGATACCAGTTCATGCACTGAGTAAAAAGTCACGCATATGATTTTACTTTTTTGAAACAGATTCCACAACAAAAGTTCTACTATGGAGAACACAAAGATGGACCATTGCAGGACATGTAACCACCAGGAGGACCCCTGACCATTAGGTCCAGTTGTGACCTACTCTGGGGTTGCGATGCTCATCTCGCTTTATTGGCAGAGGGAGCCGGCGTACAGCTTCCGGGTCATGTGGCCAGCATGACTAAGCCGCTTCTGGCGAACCAGAGCAGCGCACGGAAACGCCATTTACCTTCCCGCCGGAGCAGTACCTATTTATCTACTTGCACTTTGACGTGCTTTCGAACTGCTAGGTTGACAGAAGCAGGGACCGAGGAATGGGAGCTCACCCCGTCGCAGGGTTTCGAATAGCCGACCTTTTGATTGGCAAGCCCTAGGCTCTGTGGTTTAACCCACAGTGCCACCCCTGTCCCTTCTAACCACCAGGAGAGGCTCCTCCAAATAGATTAGTGAATGGGAAAGTTCATATGACAGTAAGATGACCCAAGGTTGTAGAAAGAACTGTTTGACCATTGTTAAACAGTAGCATATGTATACAGGATATTTTTTAAATAAAAAAAATCATATGAATCAATAAACCTTTCCCCCTATTTCATGATTAACTGCAGCATGCAAGTTATGCCTTTCTGCAGAGCTTTCCAAACTGTGTGTCACAACAGGTTAGTGAATTGGCTGCACTGCATAGGTGTGCTGCATGATATGTGTCCATACCTCTTTTAAGGGGTTGGCTTTACCTCCGGTTTGCTAGTAAAACTGAATTACTGTGTCACAGAATGATGACATTTCCAATGTGGAAAGTTTGCAAAGCTCTGCCTTTCTGTTTTGATAATGCAATTTTATATCCACAAACCACAAAAAGGAGATGTATGATTCATGGGCATATCTTACCTGGGGAATCTTGTAAATGCACAGGTTTGCTGCCATGTCAACACCAACATCAGAGCTAGGGCCCCCAATGACTGCTACAGGATTGTACTGGGTGTCACACTTGAAGTTAGGGATGCATTTTCCATGTGCAGAAAGAAGTTGCATTGAGGCATGATAAGTCCAGCTTGAACTGAAATAGCTATTGTAGATGTGGAATCCCAGGGTTATATTAGATAAGAGCTGTGGATTGTCATTAATCTCTGTTATTGCAAATACCAAGGCTACAATGTTCTGGTAGCTTTGAGGCAACGCCCTGGAAAGAATTTACAGGGTGCATCATAGCTAATCTACTTCAAAAAAAGCTATACAAAAGTATAATAATAATAATAATTTATTATTTATACCCCAGCCACTCTGGGCGGCTTCCAACAAAATATTAAAATACAATAGTCCGTCAAACATTAAAAGCTTCCCTAAACAGGGCTGCCTTCAGATGTCTTCTAAAAGTCTGGTAATTGTTTATTTCCTTGACATCTGGTGGGAGGGCAAAGGCCCTCTGCCTGGTTCCCTGTAACCTGGCTTCTCGCAGCGAGAGAACTGCCAGAAGTAGGTTTCGTATGTATTTAATTTAAATTATGTACTGCACAAAATTATACTACCACATTTAATAGAAGTGTGAAGACACAGTTATAAGTTATATAAAACAGTATATGGACTGAAACAGATAATTTGAATTTTGAATTTTCCGGAATTTTACAGCGCACTCCTCCAGGCAATAATGTGCATAAAAATGCACCTACCAGCATAAACTGTGCATACTAGTGCATTAAAATTGGGGTAGTATCCTCTGAATCTAATATACCAATGTTTAATTGAGAGCATAACACACTAATAAACCAAAGATAATCTATAAAGATATATATCTGGTTTTTCAAAAATGAATGAATGAAAGAAAATGAGGTTCTTACAAATAATCATTAAAGAGTTCATCAAAAGGATGTTGTTCAAAGGTTATTTCAAAAGAAAACATGTAGAACTGAGAAATGATGCCTGTAATGATGAGGTCTCCTGACTGATAATACTTGTGACGAACAGAAAGAGGGTAGTTGATGTTGCATTTATTAACAGGAGTATTGCATGACATCTGAGGCAGCAAAACTGATAGCCACACAAAGAACAGTATCTTCACCCATGAAAATGTCTTAATGAATGTCATTTTCTCTATTTCTATATCAACATTCAGATGTACTTGAGCAGCACAGTCTGATTTGAATGGAGATCCATTGGACTTATTGCAATGAAGGCTTATTCAGTGAAAATTACCAGGGATAATCAGTCTTACCAAATGTTGATTCTCACGAGCCCCGGTTCTTCATGGAAAAGTTATATCCTGCTAGTTGTTTTCCTGTGGTTATCAGAGGTCCGCTGAGATTTCAAGATGAAGTAGAAATAATTGTGACCAATTTGATAATTACAGAGCAGATAATTATCGGAGATTTGCAGGTTCTCTGAGACATTGCAGAGGAAAACACCCAGGTGGAGGTTGCCTCAAGTTCTGCTCATTGGGGCATACAGAACCTTGTGTGGCTAACTCCCCCCCCCCCCCAGATTGCACCAAAACCAGAACATTGTTTGCAATGCATTTAGGGAAAGTTAAGGTTTTGGAGGCAAAAATCCCATTCAGCAGGAGGCTGAGGCAATGGTGTCCTTCTCGCCACCGCATGTATCTCAGGTAGCACACGCCCAGAATTCCATGTAATTGTGCCAGGCCTACTGTTTGCATATGTAGAATTACAGCTATCAAATTGTTGAATGCAATCATCTCATTCCTGTAACTTCCATCAGTGCCCATGCATACATAGGGTGGATTCACACATGAGGCTTGTTGCATTAGCTTACTGACTAATGCCAGTACCAATTTATAACATCCTTTTAACAATGCAGTGTCTGGGTTTTGACCATTATAGCTCCATTCCCCCCCCCCCTAAATATCATTCACACCACAGACATCACATTTCTGAGTGTCTGAGTGTCTTTTCCTTAGTTTGACATTCAGGTTTTTCTCCTCCTCCCTGGAATTGCCTTCTCCTTAATGTTTCTAACTGCCCTGTTCTCCCCTTTTGCTGTGGCAGCACAGCTTGGTAGTCCTCATTGTCCCTTCTGCTCTACACCCTTGATCTGCCCTCCTCCAAACACTCTCTTGCCACATCCTGTTTTCCTACTGCCTGGGTGTTCTCTCTCACTCGCACCTACTTTCCATGCTGTCTCACTTGCTTCTCTTCTTTTTTCAAAAGCTGTTTCACCTTTCCTAATTATCTTTCCCCTCTTGCTTTTTCAATGTCTTCTTAGCCCCCCAGGTCCACTGGGCTGTGTTATTGGTTGTATGTGTTGCGCCTACACCTCAGTGGCCTTGGCTGGAGTCCTCAAGGGTAGGGATGGTAGCCACTGAACACTCAAGCCAATAGACTGTCAGCTTGCTCCAACTAGGAAAGAAAAAAAGGCTCCAGGAACAAAGCATGGAGGAAGGATGTGTTGAAGGATCCTCCATTCAAAGGTTGCCTCAGAACAGAAATCACATAAACTTGCAGTGTAAAACTCACACGATTTCCCCAGTTTAAAAGAAGTTTGTTTGTATTCTGGGAGCAAATAGCACAGAAATGGGCACCAAACTTGTGCTTTATTCTGCTAGGTTTTGGGAAGTGGTTTTTACATTACACTGACCGTGTTGCCTATGGCTGTTCCACAAGTTATATAAAACAATATATAATAATTATCAATAACACAAGTGGAACCAGCAACAATTAAAAGCCACTTGGCTTGCTGGGCGGGGGAAAGAAATGAGAGATCTCAGCAGGAATCTAACACAGCATAGTGAGTATCCTTGCCTTATGTTACTAATGAAACTGATAGAATTTCATAGTATATTAACTAACCCATTGTGGCAGATAACATCTGGCAGGGAGGGGACTGCCAGCTGAGCTCTCATGGTTCAGGACATCTGAAATTGGCAGTGAGGCTGCTGCTTTAAAAATCCACCATGGTAAACCTATAAGCCAGCTGCAAATGTTTGCTCCAACTAGGAAAGAAACAAAAGCCTGCATGAAAAAACTATGGGGAAAGGACCTGTGCAAATGTTGCTTCAGAGCAGCCATAACAGAAATTTGCAATTCAAAACACATGATTTTCTAGTATGGAAAAATATATATATTATTTTTTTCTGGAAGCAAATACCAAAGAATTGGGCACCAGAAATGGGCACTTGTGCTGTGTTAGATTTTTTGGAACTGGTTTTCACGTTATGTGAAAGCTCAAATATAACACAGAAATGAACAGTAAGGGAATCATTGGGGGAAAGTTCACTTTAGTTTTTTTATATTGCAGGATCCATGGAACTCCCGGCTACAAAAGCTCACAGCTTTGGCTGCCATCTATTCCCTTTTAAAACTTACTTTAAAGCTTCCTAACAGTTCCCCATAATAGCTGTAGACACCAACATTGGGACAGAATGAACTAATAACTAAGATTCTTAAAGGGATATATTATACGTTAAGGGAATACTAATATTTATTACATTCAGTGTTGTACATCTGATTTTTGAAATGCTGTTTTTAATTATTATTATTATTATTATTATTATTATTATTATTATTTATACCCCACCCTCCCCAGCCAAGGCTGGGCTCAGGGCGGCTAACAAGCAATAATAAAAACAAGTTGAATGACTACAACTTAAAAACAAAATTAAAATACAACATTAAAATATTGAAACATTAAAATATTAAAATGTAGCCTCATCGCATAAGGAGAAAGGAAAAGAAAAAGAAAAAGAAAAAAGAAAGAGGGGGAGGGACTCAAATTGGCTCCAAGCCAGAGGCCAGGCGGAGCAACTCAGGCCCTGCAGAAAGAAATCAGATCCTGCAGGGCCCTGGTCTCATGAGGCAGAGCATTCCACCAGGTCGGAGCCGGTGTTGAGAAGGCCCTGGCTCTGGTTGAGGCTAATCTAACTTCCTTAGGGCCCAGGACCACTAGGGTGTTGCTATTTATGAACCTTGAGGCTCTCCGTGGGGCATACCGGGACAGGTGGTCCCATAGGTACGAGGGTCCTAGGCCATGAAGGGCTTTAAAGGTCAAAACCAGCACCTTAAATCTGACCCTGTACTCTACCGGGAGCCAGTGCAGCTGCAAAAGCACTGGGTAAATATGCTCCCATGGCAGAGAGCCCGTGAGGAGCCTTGCTGCAGCATTCTGCACCCGCTGGAGTTTCTGGGACAGCTTCAAGGGCAGCCCCGCGTAGAGCGTATTACAGTAGTTAAGCCTGGAGATGACCGTTGCATGGATCACTGTGGCCAGGACGGGGCGGGAAAGGTAAGGGACCAACTCCTGTTTGCAAGAGGTGTGATGCTATTAATGTCATCTTGCTATATTTCTTACACTAAACCATTCCTTTTTCTATGTCGTTATATTTGCTATTTTGTTGTTCTTTTATTCTGAAATTGTTCTTGACGTTGTTGATTTTGAGATGTGTTCCTGTATTCTTGTTGTTAGCTACTTGGAGTAAGATTCTTTTAGTGGAAGTGCAGGGTACAAATATAATTATGATTCAAAGATTGACCTGTATTTTCAGTCTTCCCAGGACAGATCTTAAGCTAACCTGTCTATAGTTTCTAGGGCCTTAAGGTCCAGTGAAGCCAAACTCATCTTAAGTGAACTTGGAAGTTTCTGCAGTACAGTACTGGGCAGGGAATGAATAGTCTCTGGCAGATATTAGCCATGGGAAGAGGGGGAGGGTCAGCTGGGATGACGAGTTGCTCCTTGCTCTCTGGGTATCTCATTACAAATGAACAGAAGTCCAACAGGGAAGATGCAGGAGAGAAAAGTTAATAAAGGTCCCACAACGGGGAGGAAAGAGGTTCATGGGGATTTATGGAATACCACCCCCCCTTTTGTTGTTTGAGGATTGTTTGTTAATTTAAATATTCTAAAAATAAATAAATTTATTTAAACAAACCCCACAACAACAGAAAACGAACAGAAGTCAGGACTGTAGATAATACAAACTTAGGGCTGGTTTTCAAAGACTTTTAACTCCCTCAACACACATCATTTTTTCAAGGGGATTTCTGACATCAACATATTAATCTGTCAGTTTGTGAATACCAGTGAGACCTGCACAGAGCAAGCTAAGTAACTTCACTTTCAAGTATAATGCATCTAGTATGGTATTTGCTCAAAGGTCCCTGCTTGTACAATGTTGAGAATATAAATATCATCTGCTCCTAACTACTATAGTTACATCCACCTACTTTCCTGCTACAAATTGCACTATCTGGGACCATTGATTCCCACAACACCATTGGATGATCACATGAGCTGGATGATTGCAGCTGTCACATCTAAGTGCCTGTAAATCTCAATGATATTATTATCCTCTCTGTAATTATGAAATTAAGCGTAGAAGCTTTGTTTCCACATATCAAAGGATTTACAAATATGAGTTGCATTATTATCAATGAAGACAGGAGGGTGCTGTGAATATTGCCGGTACAAATCCAAGGTGTAACAAGAGATAGTCAGAGATTGGTCAGACTGATAACAGATGCTTTACACTGCACAATCTGACTCACAAATCAGTGTAGTGTGGACTTAAGTTAAGCTGCCCAACACAGCAAAGGACTTACTGAAAGATAATGTGGGGACAGGAGAATTTAGGTAGAAGAGGAATTATTTCCTGCAAGATAGTTGGATTTGTACTATTGCCATCAGTGCTTCTACTTCAGGTGATGTCCAAGATTCCTAACACTAAGTGCAGCATCTGCAGTCCCCTTCCTTTTCTTCACAAGTATTACCAACCAGGAGACCTCATCGTTGCTGCTATTATGTCTCAGATCTCCATACTATTCAACTCAATAGACTTTGATAAATGTCCTTCTACTGACCTCTTTGACGATATTGTGTAAGATTTGTTTTGTAAAAACCTCTGGTACCATATCTGCTATTAATTTTCCCTATGAGTGCCAGGCCCATAGAGAAGTGGTAGATCCAGTGAATGAGAGAAGAAGGACAGCTTTCTCTGTCTTTGGCAAATAGTTGCATCATGCCCATATTTATCATCATCTGTTATCTTTTTAGTTACAGCAGCCATGAATCTAATATCAGCAACTTTAGGAGCATTTCAACCCAGTATCTGCCAGTATGTGCAGAGTTTGGGAAAGACAGGTCTTGGGCTAAGCCACATTCTTATCTGTACCTCGGAACTCAGTTTGGTGGGGTACAAATCACTCAAGTGAGCCTTAAATGTCTTTGGACTGCAATACCTGAAAAACTGTCATGCCCCACATGAAGTAACTGAGACCATGCGATCATCATCTAAGGCCTTTATTTGTGTGCCCCTTTTCTGCAGTGGCCCCTCTTTGTAGATTACTCTGCAAAGGGAGGCTCACCTGATGCCTTTGTTACATTTCTTTAAGTTCTTTAAGTATTTTTGTGTTTTTATGTTTTAAAGTGCCCTAGGATCCTTGGATGAACACCTGCATAGAAATTTAATTTTAAAATGACTAGAAATAAACACCATGGTTTAGAGCTGGAACCTGTGCATGTTAATATTCCTCCAGAATTAAGATTGATCAGTAAGATATTATTGTTGCAGCTGAGTTGTAGCAATTTTCCAATCCAGAAGGAAACACACTGTGTTACAGCATGTAACTCTCATTTCAGGGTTATGACACAGCTCTACCAACATATCCTAGCATTAGTATTTGCTGTAAAAGAGATCAATGCAAACCTCCAAATCTTACCCAACCTCACCCTGGGCCTCCACATCTATAACAGCCATTTCAGTGCAAGCTGGACCTATCGTGCCTCCCTGGAACTCCTCTCTACGTACAGCAGATTCATCCCCAACTACAAATGTGACATCCAGAATGAACTAGCAGCAGTCATTGGAGGTCCGAACTCTGAGGTGTGTCTTCATATGGCAAGTATACTGAGCAACTACAGAATTTCACAGGTACGTCTCCTGATAGAAAACTACCCATACCATTGGGTCTTCTTTTCAGGCAAAAACCTAGCACTTTGCAGGTGCCGATGATCAGTGGGCCCTTCACAACTGTTACTGTGTTGATTCTTTGTCAGTTCTTTTTCATTTGCTTTCCCCCCTTGTTGCTTAATATAGAATGTTATTAACTGCCATGGAACAAATGATGAACTGGATAGATATCTTAATACAAATAATTGAAATAAGCTGGGTGAGGGGCTACAGGAAGGTGTCCTGCAGATGTTATTGAAACCCAACTTTCACCAGCCCCAGGAAGCAAGGGCGACCTACTCATAAATTATGGGAGTTCTCATCCTACAATGGAAGATTGTGGAAGCCCTGTTTCACCAGTGTAATGTAAGACATGGCTTTTCAATGTTTAGAGGATTGCTCAGTGTATCTGCACCTTTGAATTCTTTCAAGTTTCAGAAAAAACAAACAAACTCCCATGTCAGCAGCACTTCCTCAAAACAAAATCTAAAATATAGAATGTATTTTAACCTCCGTCAATACAAGTTAAAAAAAGAAAACCACTGCAAACTTAAACAAAATTTCTCATCTCCTCATTTCCTATCTTTGATTTAGCTCATCTATGGTCCTGCTCCAATGAGAAATATTAAAACTGAAGTTGCTTTTCTTAACCAAATGTTCCCAAGTATAGACCATCAATATGAAGGGATTCTCAAGTTACTGCTACACTTCGGATGGCTCTGGACTGGCGTGTTGATTGTGAATGATGAGAATGGAGAGAGGTTTCTACAGAGCGTGGTTCCAAAATTTATTCTGAGAGGAATCTGCTTTGATTTCATCGGAAGATTTCCATCAATTTCTTATTCTGATGGTGTTACGGACTTGGTTGCAGATGGGCTCAAGACATTTAATGTTGCTATGAGAAGTACTGTTAATGTGTTGATCATTCATGGAGAAATTGATTCCATGACACTTTTGAGAATGCTTCCTGCTGTGTCAGAATATGAAGATATACCAATAAAGGCTAAAGGTAAAGTTTGGGTCATGACAGTACAGATGGATTTCACATCACTTCCCTATCAGAGAGATCAGGACATAGACTTCCTCCATGGTACTCTATCCTTCACAATTCACTCAGAGGAGGTCTTGGGATTCCAGGAATTTGTTCAGATGAGAAATCCCATCTTGGAAAAAGAAGATGGCTTTATGAGGATATACTGGGAAAAGGCATTTCAGTGTCATTTCCCTGACTCTGAGGGAAATATGCAGGGTGGAGATATTTGCACTGGGGAGGAGAAGCTGGAGACTCTTCCTGGCTCTGTTTTTCCAACAAGCATGACTGGCCACAGCTATAGCATCTACAGTGCAGTCTATGCTGTGGCACACGCTGTGCATGCCATGCAGTCATCTAAGTTGAAGCGCAGGGTGGCCGAAGCTTTGGAATCAACAGATGTGGAAGGTAATATCATGAGCACAATAATGCAGGAATGCTCACCGTAGCCTTGGGAATAACATTAAAAAGGAATAATCCAGAGTGGCTGTAAAGTTGCTGTTTCTACTAAGGGTGGTTAGCATCTCAAGACCAAATTACATGTGACATTGAAATCCTAGCTCACTGTTGTGTGAATCTGTTCTAGGGACCACCCTCAGGACTGTGAGTGACTCATACTGAATGCGGTTAGCCCTTTCATCTTTCTAATAGGAGATTACACCAGAAGTTTCCATTTAAGGCCAAATGGCAGCTTCTTCAGAAGGATTTCTCTCTCTCTCTTCCCCTCTCTCTCCCTCTCTCTTTTTCTCTCTCTTTCTCTCATTGTTCTTCATGAAAAGATCTTATTTTTTAAAAAACTGTAATCAAATGCCCATATGTATGCCGAGAAAGAGAGTATACAGGAGGTAATTGTTCTGCATTCACTTACTTAAGGCCATAAGAAGATATTGCTGGACCAGGACATTGGACCATCTAGACCAGCATCCTCTTTCATCAAAAGAAGAAGATGATGGTGATGAAGTGCTCAGTGACTTCTATTACATCCATTACTGATCTTTATGAATCTTTTGAAGGGCCCATTGCTCATATCCCTCAAGAAGGAAAGTTCATCATCAACCTGTTATATTTGCTTATGAAATACCCACCTTTTCCAGTCATTCCCCCTGCCCAATTTAGCTCAGTCGCTTGGTGAGAAATAGTTTCTTTAATAATAGTGCTGGGGAAAATGTTTATTTCAACCAACATGGAGAAGTAGAGGCTGCATATAATATCATAAACTGGGTGACATTCCTAAACCTGTCCATTCTTAGAGTGAGAGTTGAAGGAGTAGACCCATGGGAACCCCTGGGCAAAGAGTTCACCATTCATGAGAATACCATTGTATGACCCAGAAGGTTTAACAAGGTTTGATTCTAGACACATTTTTGCAGGCCATTTTGCAAAAGAAGTGTCATGGAAATACTTCTGTCTCTAGTCCTAAGGCAGGGATGGGGAACCTTCAGCCTTCCAGATGTTTCTGAACTGCAACACCCATATTCCCAGCAAACATAGCCAATACCTGTAGGTCCCGCACCCTACAACTACAATGTCTCCATAGAAGTCTCTGTGGTTGCACATGCTTTGCATGCCATGCACCCATCTAGACTCAAACACAGAATGACAGTGGATGAAGGAAGAACATTTCAGAATGAGCAGTTGTGGACGGTAATGTCCCAAGCATGCTAAAAGCAGAGTAGAAAAGGTGATGGATCAGTTGAAAGGTTTCCCAAGGCAGCCATCTTGATACCTGTGGGAAGTGTTCAGTCATGACATTATGGCAATAGGCCACTCCCAACAGTCTGGTGTTCAGAGGTACAATGCCCCTTTTTCTGGAGCAAGTATATAGTCATTGTGGCTAATAGCCATAGATATCTAATTTATTCCATGTCTAATCTCCACTGCTCACCAGATGCAAAGGAATAAACAGAGAATCACTCTATCTGTTTATTGTTGTACATATATCTCAACGTTCCTGCAATAAGCTCAAGGTGGCCTATCGGGGTCTTCCTCTCTCCGTATCCATTCTTCCTTGGTATAACGCTTTTAAACAGTTCAGTAATCAATTGTGAGTGATCACCAGCCTTTTGTATATACTTATGAATATGTTTTTTTAAAAATTTATCTCTAATTCTATCTATTCTTTCCCCCCAAACAGCTCAACCACTTTGTTAAAAGCATCTCATTTAATAATAGTGCTGGGGGAAAAGTTTCATTCAACCAAAATGGAGAGTTAGAGTCTGGATTTGATATTATAAACTGGGTCACATTTCCAAACCAGTCCTTTCGGAGAGTGAAAGTTGGAAAGATCGACCCCATGGCTCCCCAAGAAGAAGAGTTCAGCATTTGTGAAGAAGCCATTGTGTGGCCCAGCAGGTTTAACCAGGTGAGATAAATCCATATTTTGTAGACTATCCATCACTTCTAAAATGATTCGCAGTTGAGATACTGACCCAGCTCTGTGACCTAAGCTCAATCATGTGCTTAGTGTAGGAGTGAGGGCATGGCTGTAGAGATCGTCCATGTTTTGCCAATTAAGTGACACTCATTAAATCCACTCTTGCACTACAACCACCAAATTTACCACCCGAAAAAAAAGGGAAACTTGATAAATTTACAGAGGGTCATATTCATGTAGGGGAAGGCAGCCTAAGGATTCCTTTTATCAAAATGGGGCTTGCTCATTTCCTTTCCCTACCCAAATCTGTGACATATTGCTCTGCTTTCCTTTGGACCACATCAGTGAGGTCAAGAAGGATTTCTTTTTCTCTGGGCAACCCAGGACCTCCATATACACTGCCCAGGTTTGGTGCTGGTAATGCAACTGTTCAAGGAGATAGTTCAGCAAGTATACATTGTGGACACACAATATTGCAAAAAAAACACCATGATTCTTTTTCATTTGTGGACAGGCCCAGCCTCTTTCTCTTTGTAATGCCAATTGTCCTTTGGGTTATCAAAAAACAAAGAAGGAAGGGAAACCATTTTGTTGCTATGATTGTGTATTATGTCCAGAAGGGAAGATTTCCAACCAGACAGGTAAGACACATCATGTATAGAGCCTTTAAAATATACGGACACTAAGATATTCAGACACGCAATTCCCTTGTGGTGTTCAGTTGTTCAGACAATTCAGTAAAGTTGTTCAGAATTCAGTGAAGGTTGTTGTCAGGGAACTGCCATCGGAGCCAGGAGTGGAGGCAAGGCTCTCAAGCGATGCCGAAGAAGGGCCCAGCAGGGAGAGAGAGGACTCATCGGCTGGGGAAGGAAATCAGCGTAGCACCAGGGAGAAAGGCGGGCAGAGGCGGGCTTCGGAGAGATGGCTCCAGGACTCTTCGCCAGAGACCAGCGGGGAGAGCACGGGTCCTCCACTGCCCACACCCACCCTGCACAGAAAACTTCCGCGCAGGGAGGCTAGGCGGAGACTATCCGTCAAGGAGCTTTTATGTTGGAAGAAGTTCAGGAAACGCCTACTGACGGATTCTGCCAGTGACTGAGACAGACGCAGAGTCAGGGCTGTCCAGCCAGGGAAAGGTTTATCCAGGCAACCTTGCCAAGAGTGGCGGCAACTTACGCACGAGCAACCCCCAATTTCCATTATAGTTGTGGTTCCTGATATGGGGATACAGCCTGATATATTCAATGATATCAGTCCAAGCCATTGACAGCTGGTAATTATTTACGCACGCACGCACGCGCGCGCACGCGCACACACACACACACACAAAATGAAATGAAATGAGACACCACTCAGACGAAGGAGGTTTCAAAAGCTTGTAAAACAGAAACCTTCAGAAATATGAAAGAACTTCAGGGGAAAGCTAACGGTGCAACAGCCTCTGTCTCTTAAAAACAACACCCAAGAACCATTTTTCACAATTCGGAGATGAGATAAAACTGAAGTACAACCTTGCTCCAGTTGACATATTAGGATGGGAAGTTCAAATAATGTTGGGATGTTAAAAAATGTGAACAGGTAAAATCTGCTAGAATCCTGACCGTAAGTGATAACATTAAGCTTCAAAAGCTGAGTTAGGTCTTAAGATCTGGGGGGAGGGTGGGACATTAACCATTCCTGAATATGGCATGTTGTTAATAATATAATTACATGAGAAGTGTGGCAAATTGTTGTTGTTTTTCAGATATCAACCTGGCAACCCTTATTTAAGGTTTTGTTACTTTCATTTTGATCATTTTAGTATTATGCATGTAGTGCTGCTCCTACAGCTTCTCTTTTTCAGACATGGATGAATGCTTTCAGTGCCCACCAGATCATTACCCAAATGTGGAAAAGGATTCTTGCCTGCCAAAGAACATACAATTCTTGTCTTATGGGGAACCCCTGGGGATCTCTTTGGCCTGCTTTTCTGTTTCCTTGTCCTTCCTTACAGCTTTGGTGCTTTGGATTTTCATTAAGCACCAGGACACTCCCATCGTCAAAGCCAACAACCGCAACCTCTCCTACACTCTCCTCATCTCCCTCTTGCTTGCTTTCCTTTGTGCTCTTCTATTCATCGGTCGACCTGAGAAAGTGACATGTCTCCTTCGACAAACAGCTTTTGGCATCATCTTTTCAGTGGCAGTTTCTTGTGTGCTGGCCAAGACAATCATTGTGGTCCTTGCTTTCATGGTCACCAAACCAGGGTCCAACATGAGGAAATGGGTGGGGAAACAACAGGCCACTTCCATTATTCTTTCCTGTTCCTTGATTCAAGCTGCTCTTTGTACTGTGTGGCTGGCAACTTCTCCCCCATTCCCAGATTTAGACATGAACTCAATGAGTAAAGAAATTGTTCTGGAATGTAATGAAGGGTCAGTCACCATGTTCTACTGTGTCTTGGGGTTTATGGGCTTCCTGGCCATTGTCAGCTTCTCTGTAGCCTTCCTAGCCAGGAAGTTACCTGACAGCTTTAATGAAGCCAAGTTTATCACCTTCAGCATGCTGGTATTTTGCAGTGTGTGGCTCTCCTTTGTTCCAACTTACTTAAGCACCAAAGGAAAATATATGGTGGCTGTGGAGATCTTCTCCATTTTGGCCTCCAGTGCTGGTTTACTAGGCTGTATCTTTTTCCCAAAATGTTATATTATTGTGGTGAAGCCAGAGCTGAACAACAAGGAGCAGTTAAGAAGAAGAAGTCACTGAAGCATCTACAATTCTATGGCCCTGCTCCATCTAAATTTGAATCTATGCAAAGGGATTTAAGCCAGCCACAACTAATTAGTTCAACTGCAATGGAATTTAGATTACAGTTTCTCCCTTTATTCCCTCATTAGGCAGGAAATATATATTGCAACATATGGATTGAATATAGGAACCATCCTATGTTAATATCAACTCCCTACCGCAAGTCTGCCAACAAAGCAATATATGGGAGCCAAAGTTTTCCTCCTTAGGTTTGCCAAACGTAGTGGCATAATTATCTGGAGAACCTAGGACAGATTTAGAGTTCAAATGGGGGAGTGGGAGATCGTACCTTTTACAAAAGGAAATGAGAAAAAAGTTCCGGAGCAGCCTTCCACCTGCTTCACACACATGGGGGCAGAGTCAAAAGAGTGAGCAGCAACACATGTAAGTTTTGCATTTGTATAGTACACTAGTACACTCACAAGTCAAGTAAGGGGCATTATTGGAGTTCAAGGATGCATTCCAGTGAGGGGAAAGATCTCTGGGTGTGGAGCTGGCTAGTAAGGGGTTTAAACTGGGTAAGATTCCAAATATCAGCATCATATACAGCTCCCAGATCTGGAATTCCCAAGCCCTGTTCTCATTGCATGAAGGCCAGAATGGTCTGCACTCAGCAACCTGTTTAGCTCTGCTGGTGAGTGCATTTCATCTAGCAAAGCATTCCAACTTGTGTTATTCCCCCGAACAGCCTGGTGTGGAGCAAAGCTTATGTATAATGCTTGTATGATACTGAATCTACATCATTTATTACAGCCACCATATAGTCAGCAGGGTGTTGTGGTTAGATGAGTGGTTATTTTTGCTGTTTCCAAGAGGTGTGATGCTATTAATGTCATCTTGCTATATTTCTTACACTAAACTATTCCTTTTTCTATGTTGTTATATTTGCCATTTTGTTGTTCTTTTATTATGATTTTTTTTTCTTGACACTGCGGATTTTGAGATGTGTTCCTGTATTCTTGTTGTTAGCTACTTGCAGTAAGATGCTTTAAGTGGAAGTGGAGTGTATAAATAAAAATGCTAATGAATGATTGACCTGTATTTCAGTCTTCCCAGGACAGATTTTAAGCTAACCAGTCTATAGTTTCTAGGGCCTTAAGGTCCAGTGAAGCCAAACTCATTTTAAGTGAACTTGCAAGTTTCTGCAATACAGTACTGGGCAGGGAATGAATAGTCTCTGGCAGATATTATAAGATGGGCAACATCTGGCATGGGAAGAGGCGGAGGGTCAGCTGGGATGACGAGTTGCTCCTTGCTCTCTGGGTATCTCATTACAAATGAACAGAAGTCCAACAGAGAAAATGTGGGGGGGAAAGTTAATAAAGGACCCACAACGGGGATGAGAAAGGTTCATGGGGATTTATGGAATACCACCCCCACCCCTTTTGTTGTTTGAGGATTGTTTGTTAATTTAAATATTCTAAAAATAAATAAATTTATTTTATAGAAACCCACAACAAAAACAAATGAACAGAAGTCAGGACTGTAGAGAATACAAACTTAGGGCTGGTTTTCAACGACATTTAACTCCCTCAACACACATCATTTTTTCAAGGGGATTTCTGCCATCATCATCATATTAATCTGTCAGTTTGTGAATACCAGTGAGACCTGCACAGAGCAAGCTGAGTAACTTCACTTTCAAGTGTAATGCATCTAGTATTGTATTTGCTCAAAGGTCCCTGCTTGTACAATGTTGAGAATATAAATATCATCTGCTCCTAACTACTATAGTTACATCCACCTACTTTCCTGGGGGATGCGGGTGGCGCTGTGGGTTAAAGCCTCAGCGCCTAGGACTTGCCGATCGAAAGGTCAGCGGTTCGAATCCCCGCGGCGGGGTGCGCTCCCGTCGTTCAGTCCCAGCGCCTGCCAACCTAGCAGTTCGAAAGCACCTTCAGGTGCAAGTAGATAAATAGGGACCGCTTACCAGCGGGAAGGTAAACGGAGTTCCGTGTGCTGCGCTGGCTTGCCAGATGCAGCTTGTCATGCTGGCCACATGACCCGGAAGTGTCTGCGGACAGCGCTGGCTCCCGGCCTATAGAGTGAGATGAGCGCACAACCCTAGAGTCTGGCAAGACTGGCCTGTATGGGCAGGGGTACCTTTACCTTTACCTTTACCTTTACTTTCCTGCTACAAATTGCACTATCTGGGACCATTGATTCCCACAACACCATTGGATGATCACATGAGCTGGATAATTGCAGCCGTCACATTTAAGTGCCTGTAAATCTCAATGATATTATTATCCTCTCTGTAATTATGAAATTAAGCAAAAAAGCTTTGTTTCCACATATCAAGGGAACTGCAAATATGAGTTGCATTATTATCAATGAAGATAGGAGGGTGCTGTGAATATCGACAGTACAATTCCAAGGTGTTAGAGCTTGGTCAGGCTGATAACAGATACTTTACACTGCACAATCTGACTCACAAATCAGTGTAGTGTGGACTTAAGTTAAGCTGCCCAACACAGCAAAGGACTTACTGAAAGATAATGTGGGGACAGGAGAATTTAGGTAGAAGAGGAATTATTTCCTGCAAGATAGTTGGATTTGTACTATTGCCATCAGTGCTTCTGCTTCAGGTGATGTCCAAGATTCCTAACACTAAGTGCAGCATCTGCAGTCCCCTTCCTTTTCTTCACAAGTATTACCAACCAGGAGACCTCATCATTGCTGGTATTATGTCTCAGATCTCCATATTATTCAACTCAATAGACTTCGATAAATGTCCTTCTACTGACCTCTTTGATGACATTGTGTAAGATTTGTTTTGTAAAAACCTCTGGTACCATATGTTATATTAATTTTCCCTAGGAGTGCCAGGCCCATAGAGAAGTGGTAGATCCAGTGAATGAGAGAAGAAGGACAGCTTTCTCTGTCTTTGGCAAATAGCTGCATCATGCCCATATTAATCATCATCTGTTATCTTTTTAGTTACAGCAGCCATGAATCTAATATCAGCAGCTTAAGGAGCATTTCAAGCCCAGAATCTGCCAGAATGTGCAGAGATTGGAACAGACAGATCTTGGGCTAAGCCACATTCTTATTTGTACCTCGGAACTCAGTTTGGTGGGGTACAAATCACTCAAGTGAGCCTTAACTGTTTCAGGACTGCAATACCTAAAATACTGCCATGCCCCATATGAACTAACTGAGACCATGCAATCATCATCTGAGGAATTTATTTGTGTGCCCCCTTCACAAGAGTTCCAGGGCCTTTTTCTGCAGTGGCCCCTCTTTGTAGAATACGCTGCTAAGGGAGGCTCACCTCGTGTCTTTGTTACATTTCTTTAGCTGCCTTATGGATTTTTGTGTTTTTATGTTTTAAAGTTCATTATGATCCTTGGATGAACAACAGTGTATAGAAATTTAATTTTAAAATAACTAGAAATAAACACCATGGTTTAGAGACGGAACCTGTGCATGTTAATATTCCTCCAGATTTACCTGAATTCAGATTGATCAGTAAGATAGTATTGGTGCAGCTGAGGTGTAGAAATTTTCCTACCGAGAAGGAAACGCACTGTGTTATAGCATGTAAGTCTCATTTCAGGGTTATGACACAGCTCTACCAACATATCCTGGCATTAGTATTTGCTGTAAAAGAGATCAATGCAAACCTCCAAATCTTACCCAACCTCACCCTGGGCTTCCACATCTATAACAGCCATTTCAGTGCAAGCTGGACCTATCGTGCCTCCTTGGAACTCCTCTCTTCATACAGCAGATTCATCCCCAACTACAAATGTGACACCCAGAATGAACTAGCAGCAGTCATTGGAGGTCCGAACTCTGATTTTTGTCTTCATATGGCAAGTATACTGAGCAACTACAAGATTCCACAGGTAACATTCTCTCAGAGCACCTCTCCTGATAGAAAACTACCTTGACAATTAGATCTTCTTTTCAGCCAAAATGATGGTACTTTGCAAGCACCAATGATTAGTTGCACCTTCGTAACTGTTAATGTGTTGATCCTTTGTCAGTTCTTTTTCATTTGCTTTTTCTCCTTTTTGCTTAATATAGAATGTTATTAACTGACTTGGAAATAAATGATGAGGAGCTGGATAGATATCTTCATATAACTAATTGAAATAAGCTGCCTTAGGGAAAACAGTAAGGTGTCCTGCAGATGTTATTGAAATCCAACTTTCATCAGCCCCAGCCAGCAAGGGCAACCTACTCATAGATGATGGGAGTTCTCATCCTACAATGGAAGATGGTGGAAGTCCTGTTTCACCATTGTAATGTAAGACATGGCACTACCATGAAAGGTAACTGAGCATTATTGCTTGAGCAGATTGCCACAACCCTCGACCAGCACGTAGTTTGTGCTACTACAATTTCACTGGTGAGAACATTTTCCTACGTTTAGTGGATTGCTCATTCTTTAATGTTCTCTTAAGTTTGAGGAAGTTTGAGAAAAACCTGGACAAGATCCCATGTCAGCAGCACTCCCTCAAAACAAAATATGAAATCTAGAATGCATTTTAACTGCAGTGAATACTAGTTAACATAGAAAACCACTGTACACTTAAACAAAATTTTTCATCTCCTCATTTCCTGTCTTTGATTTAGCTCATCTATGGTCCTGCTCCAATGAGAAATATTAAAACTGAAGTTGCTTTCCTTAACCAAATGTTCCCAAGTATAGACCATCAATATGAAGGGATTATCAAGTTACTGCTACACTTCGGATGGCTCTGGACTGGCGTGTTGATTGTGAATGATGAGAATGGAGAGAGGTTTCTACAGAGCGTGGTTCCAAAATTTATTCTGAGAGGTATCTGCTTTGATTTCATAGGAAGATTTCCATCAATTTCTTATTCTACTGGTCTTATGGACTCTGTTGCAGATGGGCTCAAGACATTTAATGTTGCCATGAGAAGTACTGTTAATGTGTTGATCATTCATGGGGAAATTGATTCCATGACACTTTTGAGAATGTTTCCTGCTGTGTCAGAATATGAAGATATACCAATAAAGGCTAAAGGGAAAGTTTGGGTTATGACAGTTCAGATGGATTTCACATCACTTCCCTTTCAGAGAGATCAGGACATAGACTTCCTCCATGGTACTCTATCCTTCACAATTCACTCAGAGGAGGTCTTGGGATTCCAGGAATTTGTTCAGATGAGAAATCCCATCTTGGAAAAAGAAGATGGCTTTATGAGGATATACTGGGAAAAGGCATTTCAGTGTCATTTCCCTGACTCTGAGGGAAATACGCAGGATGGTGATATATGCACTGGGGAGGAGAAGCTGGAGACTCTTCCTGGCTTTATTTTTCCAACAAGCATGACTGGCCACAGCTATAGCATCTACAATGCAGTCTATGCTGTGGCACACGCTGTGCATGCCATGCAGTCATCTAAGTTGAAGCCCAGAGTGGATGAAGGGCGGCTGAAGCTTTGGAATCAACAGATGTGGAAGGTAATAACATGAGCACAATAATGCAGGAATGCTCACCATGTCAGGTTTGGCAAGGTTCTCCCACACAAGACGAGTCTGGCTGGAAGCTGTTTTACTTTCTGATTTATTAAGCAATCACCGGGCCTTTCAGCTCGTCTTCTATAACACATCAGTCACTGTCTGAGTCAGTTGCTGCACTGAACTTCCGTCGTCTCCCAAGGCAGCCTAAATTCCACCTCTGGGTCCCTCTCTTTCTGGTCCTGCGCATTGCTCCTACCCTATTCTTTCTCCTAGTTTTGGGGGAGTCTGGTTCTGTCAACCCCCCTTCCTCTGGATCCTAATGGCTCCCCTCCTCCTGTAGCTTGCTCTGTGGTGTTTTGACGTTCCACAGGCTGCATTCCAGAGCTCATCTCTTCCTGACTGTGCAAAGGATTTAAGCTCCTGCTTCCCCCAGGTTCCTCTCCTGTTCAGCTTCTACACTTTCTGTCAGAGTGACAGCATCCCTGACACACCATAACCCTGGGAATAATAATAGAAATAAAGAATCCAGAGTGTTTGGAAAGTTTCTGTTTTTATCAAGGGTGGTTAGCATCTAAAGACCAAATTACATGTGACTTTGAAATCCTAGCTCACTGTTGTGTGAATCTGTTCTAGGGACCACACTCAGGATTGTGACTGACTCATACTGAATGGGACTTTCATCTTACTAATAGGAGATTATACCAGAAGTTTCCATTTAATGCCAAATGGCAGCTGCTTCAGAAGGATCTCTCCCCCCTCCCCCTCCCCCTCCCCCTCCCCCTCCCTCATTGCTCTTCATGAAAAGATCTTATTTAAAAAAAACACCTTACTGAAATTAAATACCCATATGAATGTAGAGAAAGAGAGTATATAGGAAGTAATTGTTCTGCATTCACTTACTTTGGGACATAAGAAGATCCTGCTGGACCAGGACATTGGCCCATCTAGTAGAGCATCCTCTTTCGTCAAAAGAAGATGATGGTGATGAAGTGCTCAGTGACTTCTATTGCATACATTACTGGTCTTTATGAATCTTTTGAAGGGCCAATTGCTCATATCCCTCAAGAAGGAAAGTTCATCATCAACCTGTTATATTTACTTATGAAATACCCTTCGTTTTCCATCTTTTCCCCTGCCCAATTTAGCTCAGCCGCTTGGTGAGAAATAGCTTCTTTAATAATAGTGCTGGGGAAAACGTTTATTTCAACCAACATGGAGAACTAGAGGCTGCATTTGATATAATAAACTGGGTGACATTCCCAAACCGGTCCATTCTTAGAGTGAGAGTTGGAGGAGTAGACCCACGGGAACCCCTGGGCAAAGAGTTCACCATTCATGAGGATGCCATTGTATGGCCCAGCAGGTTTAACCAGGTTTGACTCCAGAAACATTTTTGTGGGCTTTATTTAAATGTCATTTTGCCAGTCTTCAAGAGGTGTCATGGAAATACTTTTGTCTCCAGTCCTTTCCCTGTTCATCTCTATTTATTTCACTGTCAGGCAGGCTCACAGCCTCTTCAGCATACCCCCAGCCTAACTGTGCTATTGCTTATCATGCCTGCCATGTCCGCATGTTGGATGGCACATTTGAAAATGTTTATTTACTTAAGCATATAGTCATCTATTTATTGGGACTCAATGTAATGAAGATCCTGCTCATACAGCTTTCTTATTGCAGGGATCACACATGCATACAACTCTATGAGAACTAGTGCATGATGGCATTTAGGACTTTGTTGTTTATTTTTGTTTATCCTATGTAGATCTTTGTATTTATTTCCATTTATTGTCAGATGTCTTCTGACTGCTATGTATCAGGGTGATTAATGAAATAAATTACTATAATCATAATATGATTAGATGTTCTAGGACATTGCTTTTCTTGCCTTCCTTGCAACATGAATAGGAACAAAGGTAGCTCTCTTAGACCAAGTCAATCCATTGACCCATCTAGCTCATTACTGACACTGACTGGCAGCTGGTCTCTGGGCTTGAAGACCAAGGTCTTTCTGAACCCTAGCTGGAGACACCTGGGATTGAACTGCATGCAAAGCAGATTCTCTGCCGTTGATCTATGACCCTTCTCCTAAGGCAGGGATGGGGAACCTTCAGCCCTCCAGATGTTTCTGAACTGCAACACCCATATTCCCAGCAAGCTTAGCCAATACCTGAAGGTCTTCCAAACCTTCCCTAAGGAATGCAGATGTTGGAGTCATCAAGTCTTGCTTTATCACACTCTACATGTTCAGTGTATCCACTCTAATTTATGTTTTAGGTCTCAAATCTTCACCAGGAAAATTTTTGAAATCATGTTAATTTAAATAGGTTTAACTTGTAATCCAATGTACAAGTAAAGAAGTCCCAAGCAACACCAAAGAGATTCATTGAAGAAAGGCAGAAAATTATAGCAAAATACCTGTCATTGCCTCTATTTATGCCAAACCCAAGGCAACTCTGCCAATTCTGGGGGTGGGGATGAACAATCTGTGCTATACAAATTTGGAAACCAGGATCTGCTTTCCTCTATCTTTTATGTACAGGCACTACCCATTTCTCTTTGTAATGACCATTGCCATTTGGGTTACAGTAGAACCAAGAAGGAAGGGAGGCCATTTTGCTGCTATGATTGCCTTGCCTGTCCAGAAGGGAAGTTCTCAAACCAGAAGGGTAAGATGTGTTGTGGTAATCTTTCACAAATGGCTTAATCTTGGGATGTTTAATCTCCTTACTTACTTACTTTGCATGAGTAGCAATCAATGCCAGCTAGCAGGACATGGCTGCATGGGCGAACTGAGGTGCAACCAATCAATGTTCTTAACAAAAACAACTCTGCTCTTTTCTATACAAACTACCTTGCATATTTCATAAACCTCCCCATCTCATCCAACCAACAGCACAACCTGACATTATGGACTCGCAAATACAAAACAGCTATTTGTGTTTGTGGCGGGGGGGGGGGGCGTGGTGTGATTCATATCCCTCCCTATTTCTATCCAGAAGGCCAAGACTATGAGTAGGCAAACTAAGGCCCAGGGGCCGGATCCGGCCCAATCGCCTTCTAAATCCAGCCCATGAATGGTCCGGGAATCAGTGTGTTTTTACATGAGTAGAATGTGTCCTTTTATTTAAAATGCACCTCTGGGTTATTTGTGGGGCTTGCATGGTGTTTTTACATAAGTAGAATGTATACTTTTATTTAAAATGCATCTCTGGGTTATTTGTGGGACATAGGAATTCGTTCATCCCCCCCCCCCAAAAAAAAATATAGGCTGGCCTCCCACAAGGTCTGACGGACCTTGGACCGGCCCCCTGCTGAAAAAGTTTGCTGACCCCTGGCCATCACAGTGTGTATGTGGTTCTTAGGCACCACGATCCATGCTATAATCAGACCCAGAACCAGTGGCGGAGCAAGCTGATCGGGCGCCTGGGGCAGCGCACGTACCCTGCGCCCAGGGGCGGGGCCAGCCACCCACAGGGTGCGGCCAGCCAGGGCAGGACACTCCATGGGGCCTCCAATGAGTCTGCCTGCCTCCTCCTACTCAGCCGCCCTACAGCTGAGGGGGAGGCGGCGGGCGGACCGTTTGGGGCAGCACGAAGCCTGCAGGCACCCAAGCCACTATGTCACTCCCAGGAGAGATGCATGACTTGGGCATGCTGCAGGCCCTGCAGTGAGTGCTGCCTGCCATTTTGTCACTCCTTCCCACCTCAGTGGTGACACCCAGGGCAGCCTGCCCCCACCGTACCCCCCTTTCTCTGCCCCTGCCCAGAACTGCTTAGTTTCAGCAAGGTGGTTTTTGGGTTTGTTAAGAAATAGGATTTACAGGGTTTATCAGGAATATTCTAGATAAGAGAATATAGTTAGATACAGATTACATTCCGGTATAACTACAGTGGTGCCCCGCAAGACGAATGCCTCGCAAGACGAAAAACTCGCTAGACGAAAGGGTTTTCCGTTTTTTGAGTCGTTCCACAAGATGAATTTCCCTATGGGCTTGCTTTGCAAGACAAAATGTCTTGCGAGTTCTTGCGGGTTTGTTTCCTTTTTCTTAAAGCCGCTAAGCCATTAATAGCCACTAAGCCGCTAAGCCGTTAATAGCCGCTAAGCCGATAAACCGCTAAGCCGCTAGTAGCCGCTAAGCCGCCAATAGCCACTAAGCCGCTAATAGCCGCTAAGCCGCTAATAGCCGTGCTTCGCAAGACAAAAAAACCGCAAGACGAAGAGACTCGCGGAACGGATTAATTTCGTCTTGCGAGGCACCACTGTATTGATATGTAAGTATTAAGCAATCGGTGCCAAGAGCTTGGTAGAAATAATGAACCACTCTATATAGAAGTAGTAAAAAGTTAGTACTGAAGAGCCTATCTGTCAGCTACGTTCCTTCACCGACAGGGAATGAGAACGCTGGCATAGAGAGAGAGCAGATAAGAATGGAATGCAGAGGGGAGGGAGAAGCAGCAGGGAGCAGCCGTAACTTGATCTCTGGGCACAGGGATAATGGAAGAGAGAACCAGAGTGAAAGAATGCAGCTTGTCAGCCCAGACAGTGACTCAGACCCAGGAATACCGGCTGTGCCCTCTCCAAAATCTCATAGCATCACGAGACTTTACGAGAAGTATGAAAAGGAAAGGAAGAGAAGGTGAGGGTTTTCCTGTTGGGGGAAAAGCTGGTGGAGCTTAGTTCTGGCACTGTGCTATCTGAGGATGACAGAAATTAGCTGAGTTCCGACCTGGTTTGTTTGTTTGTTTGAACAATAAATCTGAAATAATTGCCTGCCTGAGTTGTCTTGTGTTTGTGGGAGAGACCCAAGCCATTACACTATCTGATTTAGCTCGGAGTCTAGGACTGAATTCTGATTCAGAAAAGAAGCTTTGCATCTCCTCTATTATTATGTGGAAATTACAAATGAACTATAACCCCCCCCCTTTCCAGACAGATGAGTGAAATTCACAGGCAGGTGAGGTGGTTTCTTGTGTACGTATCCTGGCACATTTGAAATTATAGGCTGAAAACTTGAGGTTCCACAACTACCATCTCTGAGTACAGTATCCTCAAAATATAGTTGCATAAGAAAGATGGATATAATTTTTTTCAATTATTTTTTTCAATTATCTATCTAGCATCCATCTTCCTAGGTTTTGTAAAATTAATCTGGTTACCCCAAGTGCCCACTCACTGTGGTATTTTCTCTCTCCTTTTGCCTTGATTATTCTACTGCAAATAGGGTTTCCATATTCCACTACAAATAGGGTTTCCTCATGTTTTCTTTTTCAGACATGGATGACTGTTTGCAATGTCCAGAAGATCAGTATCCAAACAATGCCCATAATGCATGCATTCCAAAATTCATAATCTTCCTCACTTTTGGTGAACCTTTGGGAATCTCTTTGGCAGTATTGGCTCTTTCCTTTTCATTTATTACAGCTTCAGTGCTTGGCATCTTTGTTAAGCTTAAGGACACTCCCATTGTCAAGGCCAACAACCGGAATCTCACCTACACTCTTCTCATATTCCTCCTGCTCTCCTTCCTTTGTGCTTTGCTGTTCATTGGCCAACCCCAAAAGCTGACGTGTCATCTTCGACAAAGTGCTTTCGGCATTATCTTCTCAGGAGCGATATCTTGTGTTCTGGCCAAAACCACCATTGTAGTCCTAGCTTTCATGGCCACCATGCCTGGATCCAAAATGAGGAAATGGTTGGGGAACAGACTGGCTGCTTCAATTGTTCTTTCCTGCTCCCTGATTCAAGCCACTATTTGTACTGTGTGGCTCTCAACCTCTCCCCCGTTCCCAGATTTCAACATGCACTCAGTTATGAAAGAAATTGTTCAAGAATGTAATGAGGGCTCAGTCACCATGTTCTACTGTGTTTTGAGCTACATGGGCTTCCTGGCCACTGTCAGCTTCACTGCGGCTTTCCTAGCCCGTAAGTTGCCTGATAGTTTCAATGAAGCCAAATTTATCACCTTTAGCATGTTGGTCTTTTGCAGTGTTTGGCTGACCTTTGTCCCAACCTACCAGAGCACCAAGGGTAAATATATGGTTGCCGTGGAGATTTTCTCCATCTTGGCCTCCAGTGCTGGCTTACTGCTTTGTGTCTTTTCTCCAAAGCTCTGCATCATTGTGTTCAGACCAGAGTTGAACAACAAGGAACAGCTAAGAAGAAACATTGAAATATTCTAAATCATTTGGCCCTGGCCCAATTTAAATTAGCAACGAGAATTAAGGAATTAAGTCAGTGAGATGCATCTCTTTCCTATGGCCTTTCAAACTGTATGGGGGAGTAATTGTTCCCATTTGTTATTATGGTATGTATTTTTGTGATTTTATTTTGTAAAGTACCCTGTGATCTTTGGATGAAGGGCAGTATAGAACTTAATAAAGAAAAATAGTAAAGGTAAAGGTACCCCTGCCCATACGGGCCAGTCGTGACCGACTCTGGGGTTGCGCGCCCATCTCACTTAAGAGGCCGGGGGCCAGCGCTGTCCGAAGACACTTTCGGTTCACGTGGCCAGTGTGACGAAGCTGCTCTGGGGAGCCTGCACCAGCGCAGCACACAGAAATGCCGTTTACCTTCCCGCTATAAAGCGGTACCTATTTATCTACTTGCACTTAAGGGTGCTTTCGAACTGCTAGGTGGGCAGGAGCTGGGACCGAACGACGGGAGCTCACCCCGCCACGGGGATTCGAACCACCGACCATACCATCAGCAAGTCCTAGGCGCTGAGGTTTTACCCACAGTGCCACCCGCGTCCCTCTAATAAAGAAAAATAATATTAAATAAATAATACACATGGGCCTAATCATGCTGAAATTTATGGGACTGAGTCCTATGTTACTGTTGCATTTTTATTTATTTACTCTATCTAAAATGCAATACGAACTGCAGTTTGGATCTGGAATGAGTCATGTTTAGAGTAGACCTACTAAAACAAATGAAACATAGATTAGTCTTATTGATGTACGACATTTAAGATTAATTGACTTCACAATATATAGTCAAAAGAAAATATACATGAGAAGCTCATATTAGGCTAGATTCAGACTCACATAGTAGCTCTTAATGTTGACGGAAATCAGTTAAACTACTACAACTATCTGGATTGAAACCTCTTTATTTCATTGACAGAAGCAGCAGACTACTTATGTAACTTCCAGAAAAATAATCATTACTTGTTGCTGTAATAGCTTGTGCGGAGAAATGCTGAATATTTGTCGGTTAGTTTAAGTTCTGTACTTTGGAAAAGATTTATGTGACTTCTGCTGAAGTCAGTGTGCAAGTGTTGAAGTCTGAGACTTGTGCTCTCAACTGTTTTGCAGGCCTGAGGTTTTTTTTTTCTACCCAGTAGCTGCTAAACCTGGGCTGGATCAACATTGACCTGTTTAGTGTTATTAGAACAATATTAGTTATGTCTTTTTAAAACGCCACAGAGCACACTTGTTAATTAAAGCGTTTTTAACCTTGGTTGTTTTACTGGTTTCTCTGCAGCACCCACTCGAGTCACCTTTTAATAATGCACCATGAACATTAAAAGTAGGACGTCATTTGGCCATATACAGTATCAAATACATTCCTTAACCCTTCCTTAATGTTAAAAATCATGAGTGTAGATGCATCCCAGGATGTGAGTGAATTTGACTAGGGTGATTTAGGGAAATTTTTCTGAGGTATAAGTCTATTTGAAGCTGGTGTCAGCAACAACATCTTATTATTCTTCTTATTATTATTAGCATCACACCTCTTGGGAAAAAGCAAAAATAACCACTAATCTAACCACAACACCCTGCTGACTATATGGTGGCTGAAATAAATGATGAAGATTCAGTATCATACAAGCCGGAGCATTATACATAAGCTTTGCTCCACCAACCAGGCCGTTTGGGGGAATAACACAAGTTGGAATGCTTTGCTAGATGAAATGCACTCACCAGCAGAGCTAAACAGGTTGCTGAGTGTAGACCATTCTGGCCTTCATGCAATGAGAACAGGGTTTGGGAATTCCAGATCTCGGAGCTGAATATGATGCTGATATTTGGAATCTTACCCAGTTTAAACCCCTTACTAGCCAGCTCCAAACCCAGAGATCTTTCCCCTCACTGGAATGCGTCCTCGAACTCCAATAATGCCCCTTACTTGACTTGTGAGTGTGTGCAGGTACTAGTGTACTATACAAATGCAAAACTTACATGTGTTGCTGCTCACTCTTTTGCCTCTGGCCCCATGTGTGACAGGCAGGTGGAAGGCTGCTCTGGAACTTTTTTCTCATTTACTTTTGTAAAAGGTTCGATCTCCCACTCCCCCATTTGAACTCTAAATCTGTCCTAGGTTCTCCCTTCCCCTACACTCTGGAGCAGATATTGGGAGGGTATGAGGCCCACCCAGGGTGAGGAGAAGGGAGAAAATCCATTGTACAAGCCGAAAAGCTTGCACTCATGGGATGAAGCAGTTGGATACAACACAAAGAGTTGGGGCAGGAGGTTTCTGGAGTTGGGAATCTCCACAGAACAACTAGCCAAACGATATAACCCATTTGCACATAGGCAGACGAAATAAATTTCCCACAAATCCTGGGCTCTGTATAACTTGGATGTATTGTTTGTACTGTTGCATTCAGGAAATAAATGGCTTTGCTGTGGATTTCAAAATGGAAGGGCAGAGCTTATATTCTTGGGTTGGCTATATGTTGTTTGGCTGCTGGATGTGGGGAGGAAATAATGAATTAACATAGGTTAGCTCCAAAGGGGGTGTATCTTCTTATCCACTCAAGGTGGCACATAATTATGCCACTACGTTTGGCAAACCTAAGGAAGAAAGCTTTGGCTCCCATATCTTTTTTGGTTGGCAGACTTGGGATAGGGAGTTGATATTAACATAGGATGGTTCCTATATTCAATCCATATGTTGCTATATATATGTACTGCCTAATGAGGGAATAAAGCGAGAAACTGTAATCTAAACTGCAATCCAGTTGAACTAATTAGTTGTGGCTGGCTTAAATCCCTTTGCGTAGATACAAATTTAGATAGACCAGGGCCATAGAATTGTAGGTGCTTCACTGATTTCTTCTTCTTAACTGGTCCTTGTTGTTCAGCTCTGGCTTCATCACAATAATATAACATTTTGGGGAAAATATACAACCCAGTAAACCAGCACTGGAGGCCAAGATGGAGAAGATCTCCACAGCCACCAAATATTTTCCTTTTGTGCTTAGGTAAGTTGGAACAAAGGACAGCCACACACTGCAAAATACCAGCATGCTGAAGGTGATAAACTTGGCTTCATTAAAGCTGTCAGGTAACTTCCTGGCTAGGAAGGCTACAGAGAAGCTGACAATGGCCAGCAAGCCCATAAACCCCAAGACACAGTAGAACATAGTGACTGACCCTTCATTACATTCCAGAACTATTTCTTTACTCATTGAGTTCATGTCTAAAGCTGGAAATGGGGGAGAGGTTGCCAGCCACACAGTACAAAGAGCAGCTTGAATCAAGGAACAGGAAAGAATAATGGAAGTGGCCTGTTGTTTCCCCACCCATTTCCTCATGCTGGACCCTGGTTTGGTGACCATGAAAGCAAGGACCACAATGATTGTCTTTGTCAACACACAAGAAACTGCCACTGAAAAGATGATGCCAAAAGCTGTTTGTCGAAGGAGACATGTCACTTTCTTAGGTCGACCGATGAATAGAAGAGCACAAAGGAAAGCAAGCAAGAGGGAGATGAGGAGAGTGTAGGAGAGGTTGTGGTTGTTGGCTTTGACTATAGGAGTTTCACGGTGCTTAATGAAGATCCAAAGCACCAAAGCTGCAAGGAAGGACAAGGAAACAGCAAAGCAGGACAAAGAGATCCCCAGGGGTTCCCCATAAGACAAGAAATGGATGACCTTTGGCACGCATGAATCCTTTTCCACATTTGGGTAATGATCCGGTGGGCACTGAAAGCATTCATCCATGTCTGGAAAAGAGAAGCTGTAGGAGCACCACTACATGCATAATAATAAAATGATCAAAATGAAAACAATAAACCTTAAATAAGGGTTGCCAGCTTCAAATCTTAAAAACAATTTGCCACACTTCTCATGTAATTATATTATTAGCAAAATGCCGTATTCAATTCCCACCCACCCCCAAATGTTAGGACCTAACACGACATCTGAAGCTCAATATTATCACTTACTGTCAGGATTCTAGCAGATTTTACTTGTTCACATTTTTAAACATCCCAACATTATTTGAACTTCCCATTCTAATATGTCGACTGGAGCAAGGTTGTATTTCAGTTTTATCGCATCTCCGAATTGTGAAAAATGATTATTGGGTCTTGTTTTTAACAGAGAGAGGCTGTTGCACCTAGCTTTCCCGTGAAGTTCTTTCATATTTCTGAGGGTTTCTGTTTTTTCATCATCAATCTTTATTACGGTCCAGAGACCCAACAAATTGTTAGCTGTTTTTCCAGTTTTTGATACCTCCTTCGTCTGAGTAATTACCAACTGTCAATGGCTTGGACTGATCATTGAATATATCAGGCTGTATCCCCATATAAGGAACCACAACATTCACAAAATTCTGAACAATTATACTGAATTTTCTGAACAACTGGACACCACAAGAGAATTGTGTGTCTGAATATCTTAATGTCAGTGCATTTTAAAGGCTCTATACATGATGTCTCTTACCTGTCTGGTTGGAAATCTTCCCTTCTGGACATAAGACGCAATCATAGCAGCAAAATGGTTTCCCTTCCTTCTTTGTTTTTTGATAACCCAAAGGACAATTGGCATTACAAAGAGAAAGAGGCTGTGCCTGTCCAAAAATGAAAGAGGATCATGGTTTCTTTTTTTGCAATATTGTGTGTCCACAATGTATACTTGCTGAAAGATCTCCTTGAACATTTGCATTACCAGCACCAAACCTGGGCAGTGTATATGGAGGTCCTGGGTTGCCCAGATAAAAAGACATTTTTCTTGACCTCACTGATGTGGTCCAAAGGAAAGCAGAGCAATATGTCAAAGATTTGGGTAGGGAAAGGAAATGAGCAAGCCCCGTTGTGATTAAAGGAATCCTTAGGCTGCCTTCCCCTACACGAATATGGCCCTCTGTAAATTTATCAAGTTTCCCTTTTTTTCCGGGTGGTAAATTTGGTGGTTGTAGTGCAATAATGGATTTAATGAGTGTCACTATATTGGCAAAACATGGACGATCTCTACAGCCATGCCCTCACTCCTACACTAAGCACATGGATATACAAAGCACAGAGCTAGATCAGTGTCTGAATCGCGAATATGAATTTATCTCACCTGGTTAAACCGGCTGGGCCACACAATGGCTTCTTCACAAATGCTGAATGCTTCTTCTTGGGAGCCATGGGGTCGATCTTTCCAACTTTCACTCTCCGAAAGGACTGGTTGGGAAATGTAACCCAGTTTATAATATCAAATCCAGACTCTAACTCTCCATTTTGGTTGAAGGAAACTTTTCCCCCACCACTATTATTAAATGAGATGCTTTTAACAAAGTGGTTGAGCTGTTTGGGGAGAAAGAATAGATAGAATCAGAGAGAAATTAAAAGAAAGCAAATTCATAAGAATATACAAAAGGCTGGTGATCATTCACAATTGATTACTGAACTGTTTAAAAGCTTTATACCAAGGAAGAATGGATACGGAGAGAGGAAGAGCCCGATAGGCCACCTTGAGCTTATTGCAAGAACATTGAGAGATACGTATAACAATAAACTGATACAGTAATAAACTACAATAATAAAATGTAACAGCGGTACTAATGAAGGAAGTAAATGGGCAGCAGTGGAGCAGGTCAGAATGGTATAGCAACTACTACATTTATAACCTTGACGTGGTGGATGGTAGAAGCAGAAAAAAATCCTGTGCCATGTTTATGATGATCACTTTTGGGACTTTCCAGAGAATCTAGATTCTCTATTTATTCCTTTTGTGCTGGTCCCAGGGGGAAGTTACCGTGGGGCCAGGTCCAGGACCTGGGTCGAGGGTCGGTAGTCTGTCCTCCACGGGCAAGGCGGGGTCCAAAGCCAGGCAAGGACAGGAACTCTGGAGGAACAGGACTGGGTGCTGGCCGAAACAGCCCTTCAACGCATTGCTCCCGCAACCTGGGACTGGGCTGACTGGCCTTTATCTTCTCTGATGCCAGGGGCGGTCCCGGCCCCCAGGAGACCCGCCTCTCCTGACCTTAAGGCGAGCACTCCTTCTGGGAGAAACCAGTTCCCTCTGCCTCTCTGCCCTGAGCCTCGGCAGCTCAGGAGAGGCTGCAGGGTTACTGGACCCAGGGGGAGACTCATCTTCTCCTGACAGGGTTGGGAGAGGTGCACCTGTAGGCACTGTGTCCTCAACCACCTCCGGAGCCAGAGTAGATTCAACTGGTACCTGCTCCTGAGGATCCGGCACAGGTGCAGGCACTTCAGAATCAAGGCCCTGCCCCAGTTCAGACGGCCCTGGAGGCGGGGACTCCTGTGCAGGCTGGGATTCCTCCGGTTCAGCCTCTTAATCGGATTCCCAGGCCATCACACCTTTGCTTCTGGTGAGCAGTGGAGATTAGACAAAGTCAAGGAAGACATTGGATATCTATGGCTATTAGCCACAATGACTATATACTTGCTCCAGAAAAAGGGCCAGGGTGCCTCTGAACACCAGACTGTTGGGAGTGGCCTATTGCCAAAATGTCATGATTGAACACTTCCCACAGGTATCAAGTTGGCTGCCTTGGGAAACCTTTCAACTGATCCATCACCTTTTCTACTCTGCTTTTAGCATGCTTGGGACATTACCGTCCACAACTGCTCATTCTGAAATGTTATTCCTTCATCCACTGTCATTGTGCCTTTCAGTCTAGATGGGTGCATGGCATGCAGAGCACGTGCAACCACATAGACTTCTATGTAGACATTGTAGTTGTAGGGTGCGGGACCTACAGGTATTGGCTATGTTTGCTGGGAATATGGGTGTTGCAGTTCAGAAACATCAGGAGGGCTGGAGGTTCCCCATCCCTGCCTTAGGACTAGAGACAGAAGTATTTCCATGACACTTTTTAGACTGGCAAAATAGCCTGCAAAAATGTGCCTGGAGTCAAAGCTGGTTAAACCTGCTGGACCATACAATGGCATCCTCATGAATGGTGAACTCTTTGCTCAGGGGTTCTCGTGGGTCTATTCCTCCAACTCTCACTCTAAGAATGGACCGGTTTGGGAATGTCACCCATTTTATGATATCAAATGCAGCCTCTAGTTCTCCATGTTGGTTTAATTAAACTTTTCCCAAAGCACTATTATTAAGGAAGTTATTTCTCACCACGCAGCTGAGCTACATTTGGCAAGGGGAATGATGGGATAACAGGTTGATGATGAACTTTCCTTCTTGAGGGAAATGAGCAATGGGCCCTTCAAAAGATTCATAAAGACCAGTAATGGATGTAATAGAAGTCACTGAGCACTTCATCACCATCATCTTCTTTTGATGAAAGAGGATGCTGGACTAGATGGGCCAATGTCCTGGTCCAGCAATATCTAATTATGGTAAGTGAATGCTGTAAAACTACCTCCTCTAATCTCTCTTTCTCAGCATACATATAGGCATTTGATTTCAGTAAGGTTTTTTTTAATATGCTCTTTTAATATGATCTCTTTTCATGAAGAACAATGAGAGAGAGAGAGAGAGAGAGAGAGAGAGAGAGAGAGAGAGAGAGATAGAGATATCCTTCTGAAGAAGCTGCCATTTGGCCTTAAATGGAAACTCCTGGCATAATCTTCTATTAGTAAAATGAAAGGCCTAACCCCATTCAGTATGAGTCAGTCACAGTCCTGAGTGAGGTCCCTGTAACAGATTCACACAACAGTGAGCTATGTTTTCAATGTCACGTGTAATTTGATCTTGAGATGCTAACCACCTTTGGTAGAAACAGAAACCTTTCAAACACTCTGGATACTTTATTTTTATTGTTATTTCCAGGGCTATGGTGAGCATTCCTGCATTATTGTGCTCATGATATTACCTTCCACATCTGTTGATTCCAAAGCTTCAGCCGCCCTTCATCCACCCTGCGCTTCAACTTAGATGAATGCATGGCATGCACAGCGTGTGCCACAGCATAGACTGCATTGTAGATGCTATAGCTGTGGCCAGTCATGCTTGTTGGAAAAACAGAGCCAGGAAGAGTCTCCAGCTTCTCCTCCCCAGTGCATATATCACCATCCTGCGTATTTCCCTCAGAGTCAGGGAAATGACACTGAAATGCCTTTTCCCAGTATATCCTCATAAAGCCATCTTCTTTTTCCAGGATGGGATTTCTCATCTGAACAAATTCCTGGAATCCCACAACCTCCTTTGAGTGAATTGTGAAGGATAGAGTACCATGGAGGAAGTCTATGTCCTGATCTCTCTGATAGGGAAGTGATGTGAAATCCATCTGTACTGTCATGACCCAAACTTTCCCTTTAGCCTTTATTGATATATCTTCATATTCTGACATAACAGGAAGCATTCTCAAAAGTGTCATGGAATCAATTTCCCCATGAATGATCAACACGTTAACAGTACTTCTCATTGCAACATTAAATGTCTTGAGCCCATCTGCAACCAAGTCCGTAATACCATTAGTATATGAAATTGATGGAAATCTTCCTATGAAATCAAAGCAGATACCTCTCAGAATAAATTTTGGAATCATGCTCTGTAGAAACCTCTCTCCATTCTCATTATCTGCAATCACCACACCAGTCCACAACCATCTGAAGTGTAGCAGTAACTTGAGAATCCCTTCATATTGATGGTCTATATTTGGGAACATTTGGTTAAGGAAAGCAACTTCAGTTTTAATATATCTCATTGGAGCAGGACCATAGATGAGCTAAATCAAAGACAGGAAATGAGGAGATGAGAAATTTTGTTTAGGTGTACAGTGGTTTTCTATGTTAACTTGTATTGACTGCAGTGAAAATACAATCTAGATTTCAGATTTTGTTTTGTGGGAGTGCTGCTGACATGGGATCTTGTCCAGGTTTTCCTCAAACTTCCTAAAGCTTAAGAGAACATTAAAGAATGAGCAATCCACTAAGCACAGAAAAATGTTCTCACCAGTGAAATTGTAGTAGCACAAAGTATGTGCTGGTCGAGGGTTGTGGCAATCTGCTCAAGCAATAATGCTCAGTTACTTTTCATGGTAGTGCCATGTCTTACATTACACTGGTGAAACAGGACTTCCACTATATTCCATTGTAGGATGAGAACTCCCATAATCTATGAGTAGGTCGCCCTTGCTTCCTGGGGCTGGTGAAAGTTGGATTTCAATAACATCTGCAGAACACCTTACTGTAGTCCCTCAGGTAGCTTATTTTAATTATTTGTATTAAGATATCTATCCAGCTCCTCACCATTTATTTCCAAGTCAGTTAACAACATTCTATATTAAGCAACAAGGAGAAAAAGCAAATGAAAAAGAACTGACAAAGGATCAACACAGTAACAGTTGCGACGTGGCAACTGATCATCGGTGCTTGCAAAGCACCATCATTTTGGGCTGAAATGAAGATCTAATTGTCTGGGTAGATTTCTATCAGGAGAGGTGCTCTGAGAGAATGTTACCTGTGGAATCTTGTAGTTGCTCAGTATACTTGCCATATGAAGACAAACCTCAGAGTTCGGATCTCCAATGACTGCTGCTAGTTCATTCTGGGAGTCACACTTGTAGTTGGGAATGAATCTGCTGTATGTAGAGAGGAGTTCCAAGGAGGAACGGTAGGTCCACCTTGCACTGAAATGGCTGTTATAGATGTGGAAGCCCAGGGTGAAGTTGGGTAAGATTTGGAGGTTTGCATTGATCTCTTTTACAGCAAATACTAATGCCAGGATATGTTGGTAGAGCTGTGTCATAACCCTGAAATGAGAGTTACATGCTGTAACAGAGTGTGTTTCCTTCTGGATAGGACAATTTCTACACCTCAGCTGCACCAAAACTAACTCACTGATCAATCTCAAGTCAGGTAAATCTGGAGGCATATTAACATGCACAAGTTCCAGCTCTAAACTATGGTATTTAAATCTACTTATTTTTAAAATTAAATTTCTACACAGGTGTTCATCCACGGATCATAGGGCACTTTAAAACATAAAAACACAAAAATACATAAGGCTCCTTAAAAAATGTAACAAAGACACGAGGTGAGCCTCCCTTAGCAGCGTATTCTACAAAGAGGGGCCACTGCAGAAATAGGCCCTGAACTTCTTGTGAAGGGGGCACACAAAGAAATTCCTCAGATGATGATCACATGGTTTTGCTTAGTTCATATGGGGCATGACAGTTTTTTTAGATATTGCAGTGCAATGACATTTAAGGTTGCTTGAGTGATTTGTACCCCACCAATCTGAGTTACGAGGTACAAATAATAATGTTGCTTAGCTCAAGACCTGTCTCTCCCAAACTCTGCACATTGTGGCAGATACTGGGCTTGAAATGCTCCTTAAGCTGCTGATATCATAGCTGCTGCAACTAAAAAGATAACAGATGATGATTAATATGTGCAACTATTTGCCAAAGACAGAGAAAGCTGTCCTTCTCTCATTCACTGGATCTACCACTGATCTATGGGCCTGGCACTCCTAGGGAAAATTAATATAACATATGGTACCAGAGGTTTTTACAAAACAAATCTTACACAATATCGTCAAAGAGGTCAGTAGAAGGACATTTATCAAAGTCTATTGAGTTGAATAGTATGGAGATCTGAGACATAATAGCAGCAACGATGAGGTCTCCCGGTTGGTAATACTTGTGAAGAAAAGGAAGGGGACTGCAGATGCTGCACTTAGTGTTAGGAATCTTGCACATCACCTGAAGCAGAAGCACTGATGGCAATAGTACAAATCTAACTATCTTGCAGGAAATAATTCCTCTTCTACCTAAATTCCCCTGTCCCCACATTATCTCTCAGTAAGTCCTTTGCTGTGTTGGGCAGCCTAACGTAAGTCCACACTACACTGATTTGTGAGTCAGATTGTGCAGTGTAAAGCATCTGTTATCAGCCTGAACAATCTCTGACTATCTCTTGTTACAGCTTGGAATTGTACCGGCGATATTCACAGCACCCTCCTATCTTCATTGATAATAATGCAACTCATATTTGTAAATCCCTTGATATGTGGAAACAAAGCTTCTATGCTTAATTTTATAATTACAGGGAGGATAATAATATCATTGAGATTTACAGGCACTTAGATGTGACGGCTGCAATCATCCAGCTCATGTGATCATCCAATGGTGTTATGGGAATTAATGGTCCCAGATAGTGCAATTTGCAGCAGGAAACTAGGTGGATGTAACTATAGTAGTTAGGAGCAGATGATATTTATATTCTCGACTTTGTACAAGCAGGGACCTTTGAGCAAATACCATGCTAGATGCATTATACTTGAAAGTGAAGTTACTCAGCTTGCTCTGTGCAGATCTCACTGGTATTCACAAACTGACAGATTAATATGATGATGTCAGAAATCCCCTTGAAAAAATGATGTTTGTGGAGGGAGTTAAATGGCGTTGAAAACCAGCCCTAAGTTTGTATTATCTACAGTCCTGACTTCTGTTCATTTGTTTTTGTTGTGGGTTTCTATAAAATAAATTTATTTATTTTTAGAATATTTAAATTAACAAACAATCCTCAAACAACAAAAGGGGGGGAGGTATTCCATAAATCCCCATGAACCTCTATCCGCCCCGTTGTTGGATCCTTTATTAACTTTTTTCTCCACATTTTCTCTGTTGGACTTCTGTTCATTTGTAATGAAATACCCAGAGAGCAAGGAGCAACTCGTCATCCCAGCTGACCCTCCACTCTTCCCATGCTATGTTAGGGTGTGAAACCTAAGACGCTGGCAAGTTAGCAATGTCATGTGACTTTAAGTAGTCAAGCTCGTTAAGTTGTTAAGTTGCTCAGTATATAAAGAGTGTTTGTTTTCTCTGCCTGTGGGGCATGAAGCAAAAATGTCTGAAAGCTCCGGAGGTGTTTCTGTTATCTTTCTGCAATAAACCTGTCTTTGGAAAGACAGGCTTCCCTGTGTCGTTATTTCCTTGCTGTTGAGACTTTGAAGCTTGTACTCCAACAAGAATCTCTGCACTGGACTTAATTAATGCTCTGCAAAGAGAACTGTTGCTGGTGGCGCAGCGGAAGTGTTTACTGGACCAGTACACAGACTCTCTTAGGTTATGGCTCCTTCTACGTTTCTACAACTGTATTGTGTGCAGAGAAAGTGAAAGCAGCTTTCGGATGAGAGAAGACCGGCTTGGTCGTAAATCCAGCTCTTAAAGGAACTGAGAGGCTGCAGAAAGTTGAGAGAGCTGCGTAAGTGAAGATTTACAGCTTCATTAGCTGTAAAAGGCTAGCTTGACCTCCCGTTGTGTTTTTGTTTTGTTAATAAAAACAGAGGACGGTGGTAGGTTGCTAGTGAAGAGACGGAGGGAAAAAGTTTAAAAGGCTTCAGAGGAGGCTGGAGGCGTCTGAAAAGTGAGTAAAACAAATCCCAAGGGGAAAGAGAAGCAAGGGCACACAGAGGGAGTAGCAGCAGACCCCAAGAATGGCAGTGGAAAATTTCCAGGTTCCCTTTACAAAGTTGAACTCTGCTAATTACGTGCAGTGGTCTAAGAGGGCTCAAGTCTGGTTGGAAGCCAAAGAAGTGTGGGCTGACTATGTCCAGAGGCGAAAGCCGTTTGTGGCTGCTGCAGCAGATGCCACAGCAGAGCAACAGGCTGCTGCACATGCTCAGAACAGGGAAAATGATAAAATGGACACTAAAGCTAGATGCATGTTGATGGTATCGATAGACGATTCCCAATTACCTCATGTGGAAAATTTAAGGTCTGCATTTGAAATTTGGGAAGCTCTTAGGCGAATTCACCATAGAGCCACGCCCGGAGAGAAGGTGAACATTATACGTGCTTTGTATGAGTTGAAACTGAAGCCAGGGGATAGTGTGGTTGAACGCACGTCACAGATGACTGAGTATTTCAACCGACTGTCATCTCTAGGTGTGAATTTTCCTGAAAATATTAAAGTTTATACTCTGCTTAGCAGCCTGCATGCAGGGTTTGAAAACTTAGTACTAACTTTACAAGTTTTGCCAGAGGACCAGCTGAATATGAATTATGTGACTGGTAGATTGTGTGAGCAAGAATATCAACATCATCGAAAACGTATTGATAATTCAAATACCCCAAGGGTTGGATGTTCAGATAATTCCCAGTGTGGGGGAACTAGCAGGCAGAGCTGTAAGGAAGCCTCACAAGTGTCTGCTATGGCCAGCAAGTCATGTTTTCGATGTGGCAGCAGGTTTCATTTGATAGCAAAGTGTCCAGAAAAGCAACAGGAATTTCAACAGTCCAAGGCCAGTTTCCGGAGCTACAGGGGAAGACGACGTGAGAACTACAAGAATCAACGATCCAGAGGGGGAGCAGGTGCTGATAAGGGACTATCTGCAATGGCAGCACAACAGAGTCCTAAAAGGAGCCAACAAACCTTTAAGTGGATAATTGACAGTGGAGCAAGTCACAGTTTAGTTCCAGCGACATCTAGTGGCAGCTTGATGAACTGCAAGACATTGCCAGTTGCAAAAACTGTGACTATAGCAGACAATAGTAAACGAGAAATGAACCTTAAAGGCACAATTTATGTTAACTGTTTGCAAACTAACCTTCCTGTTTTTGTTCTTCCAGGAATGAAGAATGGACTTTTGAGTGTGTCATGCCTGGTAAAAAGTGGTTTTAAGGTTGAGTTTGAAAATGATGTGTGCACCATTTCAAAACAGGGGAAGGAGCTAGTTAAAATTCCCTGTGAGGATGGGCTCTTTGTTTTGGATGAAGAGCAGTTAGCAGCAGGTAGATGTTCAACAGGTGAAGCGCAAGCTAAGTGTGTAAATAAGGCTCCTCATACAGGTTGTGCACATCTACTACACAGAAGGTTAGCTCATATATGCTTTAAGTATGTAAGCAAGATGCCAGATTTAGCTGAGGAGTGTAACATTAAACCCTGTCCAAATTTTCTGGATTGTTGTGCTTGTAAACATGCTAAGGTTAAGACATGTAACTATCCTAGATCTGATAGAGTAAGCAAGAAACCCTTTGAACTTGTGCACACAGACGTGTGTGGCCCTATGCCAGTCAAATCGCTTGGAGGTGCGAGATTTATGCAAATTTTGGTGGATGATTTTTCAAGGGCTAGTTGGGTTTTCTTTCTGAAAGAAAAATCACAAGCAGCTTCCATCCTGATGGATTGGATTGAAGAAGTCGAATGTAAATTTGACACCAGGGTGCGTAAAATACAATCAGATCGTGGTGGGGAATATGTGAACCACACGCTGGAGACGTGGTTAAAAAGGAAAGGTATAGTTCATAGACTTACCAATCCCTATTCACCACAAGAGAATGCAGTTGCCGAAAGAAAATTTCGTACATTACAGGAAGCCATTGCTGCTTTGCTGTTTGATTCTGGACTTCCACAGCGTTTTTGGGCTGAGGCTGCACTGTATGCGAATTATACTTTTAACAGAGTGTACAATAGCACAGTAGGCAACACTCCTTACTTCATGCTATTTGGAAAAAAACCAAAAATTGATCATCTAAGAGTTTTTGGATGTCGTGCTTATGTGCTGGTGCCTAGGGCACAACGTAGGAAAGGCGATCCTAGATCTAAAGAAATGTTTTTCTGTGGTTATCAAGCAAACACAAAAGGTTGGAGATTTGTGAATGTAGAAGGCAATCAAACAAAAATCACAATCAGCAGAAGTGCGGAATTTTGTGAACAGGATGGTTGGAATAAAATTCATGGAAATCCTGACATACTATTTGATGTGGTGAACAGTAACAATGAAACTCAGGCCCCCGAGCA